ATAGAAAATTTATAATTATTCTAATGTACATACAATAATCAAATACATGAACTTCAAATCTCATGGTAAGAATCTAACCAAATGAGTCACTTTTCATCTTTACAATATTATTAAATTCTTAATTTACGCCCCTCTTATCTCTTGCCGATTCCTAACTCCAGGAGGAGAGTCGCTCAGCCGACTCAAGCTAAAAGCAGAGTTGGAGCTTGGCAATGCAGTTGATCTTCTTGCAGCTGATAGGCATTGAATGAAGCTGATTCCCCGTATTGGACAGAAAGAACCTTCTATAATTACTTCCCTTACTTTTAATTTCTACCTTAAAATATATAATTATTTTCATGAGTCTTACACTTTCCGCACCCACGATGAACATTTTGAATTGAGAGTCATGTCGTTTGGGTTGTGTAGTGCATCCTCTGCATTTCAGGCCACATGAACTCTTCGAGCCACACCTTCGTCGCTTCATAATTGTGTTATTCGACGACATCTTGGTTTATAGCCCAACTCTAGATTCTAACGTTTCACATTTGGAGACTACTTTCCAATTGCTGGTTCAGAACAATTTTCGGCTTAAAGGTAAAAAGTGTTCAATTGACAAACAATCCATCCACTATTTAGGTCACATTGTGTCTGCCAAGGGGGTTCAACCAGATCCTAGTAAAATTCCAAGCCGTCCTCGACTGGCCCTTACCTACTATAGTCAAGTCTTTTCGCGGGTTCTTGGGGTTGACTAGTTTTTACGGTCGATTTGTAAAAGGTTATGCTTTTATTTGCCAACACCCTGACTGACTTTCTCAAACGTGACAACTTCTCATGGCAAGATAACGCCACTCTGGCCTTCCAAAAACTAAAAGAGGCCCTAACAAAAGCCCCAATTTTATTCTTGCCTCGCTTTGAGGGCACCTTTACAGTCTAGACAGATGCTTCAGGCTCTGGCATGGGGGTTGTCCTTTCTCAAAACGGACACCCCGTCGCTTTTTTCAGCAAAAGATTCTATCCGAAGTTACAAAACTCTTCCACTTATGTTCGAGAGTTGTGTGCCATTACCTCTGCAGTACAAAAATGGAGGCAATACCTCCTTGGGCGCCGTTTTATCATACAAAATGATCAAAAATCCATAAAAGAGCTTCTCTCCCAAACGGTTTTAACGCTGGATTAGCAAACGTACCTCTCCAAGTTGCTGGGCTATGACTTTGAAATACAATATAGACTTGGCAAATCTAACTCAGTAGCCGATGCATTATCTAGACTTCCACAATCATAAACAGACCAGAGCCTTCTTATCCTATCCATTCCTCGGCTGGATTTTTTATCTGATCTTAAACAGTACCTCTCCACCAACGAAGAGTTTCTTTCGTTGATGAAGAAACTAATGGAAAATCCTGCTGGTTTTCCCCTGTACACACTGACAAATGGGGTCATCTTGTTCAAATAGCGAATTTGGCTTCCCTCCTCATGCCCATTCATACCTACTCTTTTCCAGGAGTTTCTACTCCCTTGGCTGGCCACCCGAGTGTATCACGTACCTTTGGCACGGTGGCTGCAAATTTCTTTTGGGACAAAATGCACCAGAACATTCACGCCTTTGTCACGCAATGCGACATCTGCCAACAAACTAAAATTCTGGCACAAAAATCAACAGGGCTTCTTCAGCCAATTCCGCCACCTATTAAATGTTAGGAGGATTTATCACTGGATTTCATTGGGGGCCTTCTTCCATATCAGGGGAATTCCACAATATTGGTTGTTGTTGATCGCTTTTCAAAAGCTGCTCACTTTGACATGTTGCCACGGTCATTTTTAGCCTCCAAAGTGGCAGATTTATTCGTGCATATGATTTGTAGATTGCATGGTCTCCCTAAGAGCTTGATCTCCGATCGCGACCGTGTGTTTCTTAGCCAATTCTGGCGTGAGCTCTTCCGTCTAAGTGGAACCAAACTATGGATGTCTACGACCTATCATCCTCAATCCGATGGTCAGACAGAGATGGTTAACAAAATCTTGCAGCAGTATCTTCGCTGTTTTGTTCACCATAAGCCTTCCTTGTGGGGCAAATTTCTGACATGAGCTGAATGGTGCTTTAATACCACTATTAATGCCTCCACCAAAATGACTCCATTCGAAGTCATCTACGGTCATCCCCCACCTTCCATTCCACAGGCACTACCATCGCATACCTCCAACACTACTGTTCAGTTTGAGGTAACATCCAGAGCCGACATCATTCACAAACTCCACAACAACTTGCAAAAAGCTCAGGATGATATTAAGAAATGGATAGACACTACTGGCAGGGATTCCCAACTTAATCCAGGTGATTGGGCTTATGTTCGTCTTCGTCCACACCGACAGGTTTCGTTGGGGGTTATTACAGTGGCAAGTTACAAAATCGTTTCTTTGGTCCTTTTAAAATCCTTGAAAGAATTGGACAAGTTGCTTACAAGTTAGAACTTCCTTCAATTGCTAAAATTCACAATGTGTTTCACATCAGTTTTCATTGACCACACAGGGTTCAACCACCAATAATAGCTTCCTCTCTTCCACCCGAATTTCATGACAATCAACCTATAATGGAACCTATTGCTATTTTAGACACCAAACCTGAGTCTGCCTTGGTTCTTGTCCAATGGAAGGGTCTAACCCAGAGGATGTCACTTGGGAGCCTTGGCACGATCTGAAGGAACAGTTTCACCTTGAGGACAAGGTACCTCTTCAACAAGAGGGAGATGAAAGGATCATTGAACCCTTGCAACACACTAGTACAGGTGAAGTATTGGATGACACTGCACAAGGATAGTACAACCCAAGTACTACGGGTGAGGTTGAGAATAACCCAAGTTTCACTGTTCCATAAACTTCTATTGTTCGTCCTAGAAGTGTTATTCGTCAACCAATTTACCTCAAAGATTTTGTTACTAAATGACTTGTCCATTTTTGCCTCAAAGGGGAAAACCGTTATACCCATGTGATGGAATATTAGCTGTAAAAGTGCCTATATAGAGCACCTTAGGATGAATAGTAGAAGAATGAAAAAAAGTTAGTAAGTACTCTTTCCTGAATTCTTTCCTCTTTATCCTGAATTTTTAGAATTTTTCTCTTCTCTCCATATTTCCCTTTCATAGTTAGTAATGCAATGTTTAAAAGATGGATGTAAATTTATTTAGAGTACTTAATTATTCATTAAGATTTTCTTTAAGAAAACATTGTATTGAATTCGAAGTGACATGCTAAAATTAAATATTTATCTAATTAAGCTCAGTCTTTATTAAGAGATGACACGGAAAATTTCAACATGATTTTGTTTGGTTAAATTTCACATAGTTATTATCATTACAGCTATACACAACTTACTTTATATTAGTATCGTCACAATTAGGGATGGCAAAACGGGCCAGCCCGCCCCGTTTTGGCCCGCCCTGCCTTTGGCCCGCCAAAAGCGGGGCAGGGCGGGCTGGCCCGATATAGTCATGACAGACTGTAGACCTTAGTCCGCCCCGCCAAGGGGCTGGTTAGCTGGCTGGCGGGTTGGCCCGCCATAATTAAAAAATAATAATTTTTTTTAATAAATTTAATAATAAGATTATTATTTGTTTGTCAATAATTCAATATATATATATATATATATTATTTCAATTTAATAATATAAATCAATATATTATTTTAAGAAATTATAATTTAGAACAATAATAAAATTTACATAATAATAAATAATAACAAATATATATATATATATATATATATATAAATAACGTTAAACTTATAAAATTTATATTTTTTATATTGAAAAATTCAAATACCTATATCTTTTTTATTTGATAAAACTTCGTATTATACTTGGTTGAGTAATTCTTATACCTTTAATTCAAGTAATAAGGATAAATATAATCGATACTTAGGATAAATAAGGAGAACAGGATAGAAGGTTATATTTCGGGAAGGAGAATATTTTCTCGTGAGAATGAAACTTTTTAATTCTCTTTTTAAAATTTTTAACTTTATATATTATCTTTATAATTAATTTTATTACAATAAAAAATATTTTTTTATTAATTAGGCGGGTCGCGAGCCGGCCGCCCGTCCCACGGGTTGGCCCGACGGGTTGGCGGGCTTGGCGGGGCGGGCCAAAGAGGGCTGATGGGCTGAAAACACCAACCCGCCCCGCCATATTATGGCGGGCTGGCGGCCAGCCCGCCGGGCCTAGCCCATTTTGCCATCCCTAGTCACAATTCATAACTTTTTAGTTTGTAGCAAAAATGCATAATGAAAAACCATATTCAAATTGACTAAAATTGGAGTTTTCTTGCAATTATAAGACACTCAACAAATAACAGCAAGTGTTAATATTATTCAAATACATTTTAAAAAATATATATATAATCGTGTAAGAAAACATGTATGTATTTTGCCCTAATTATAATTATTCAATTGCTCATCGTATTAATTATTTATTTATTAGATTACTTTAGTTCATGAATTGTAAATATTATCAATCTTTTCTATATTTCTCTTCATATATTAATTAGTCAAGAGTGATTTTAAAAATTATACAATTATAAACAATTTAATATTATTAATTAAATTAATTATTTTTAATAAATATAAATACTATAATTTAAACATTCGATGTTTTCAATAAATGCAAAATCACTTATATACGTTACCGTAAACGTAATATTATAAAACTATTCATAAACATAAAGAAAGAATTTAATGAAAAATTGAATTGAGATGAATTAACTTTAAACAATGAAATAATCAACCATAGTAACCCGCTATTACATTGTCACCCTTAAATAATAAGGCTTGATGTAAAAATCCTCATCAGATTCATCGATCACAAAGTGTGAGGCGAAAAGCTGATCAAACCGATTCGTGGTTGAAATACAGCAGCAGCAAGAGAGTGTAAGAATCTTGCGTTTTTTACTCTATCAATTCTGATTCTGGTTATTTCTTCCTTCTCTGTGAGAGAGTGAGAGTGCGTGCTGCGAGTGTTCATCAGCATGAGCACCTTGTATGTAGAAGGCGAGGCATCGGAGAGTCCGAAAGGCGATGACGAAATTTCGCCGATCGAGGAGGTTCGGATGGTAGTTTCGAACGAAGACAATCCGAACGAGCCGGTGTGGACGTTCCGCATGTGGCTACTGGGGATCGTGGCGGTGGTGTTGCTCTCATTCTTGAACACTTTCTTCGGATACCGGAGCCAACCGCTGACAGTGACGATGATATCGGTTCAGGTGGCGACGCTTCCAATCGGACGCTTCTTGGCGAAGGTTCTACCGCGAAGGAAGATTCGGATTGGAAGGAGAGGCTTCTCGCTGAATCCTGGTCCCTTCAATACAAAGGAGCACGTGTTGATTTCTATATTCGCGAACGCTGGTGCCGCATTCGGTAGCGGTTCGGCTTATGCAGTTGGCATTGTGGATATAATACGCGTTTTTTATGGGAGGAAGATTACGTTCTTGGCCAGCTGGCTCCTCGTCTTGACCACACAGGTAATGTAGAATGCGTTAAGAGCTAAGGGAGTGAGAGTAGTTTCAAGATTGAAAAGAATTGCAGAATAGTCTTATTCAAGAAGGTTTCAAGAAAGATTAGCCATGGTTATTATTCTGATTTTGGACGCAGGTGTTAGGGTATGGATGGGCGGGGATAATGAAGAAGTACGTGGTGGAGCCCGCAGAGATGTGGTGGCCTGGTACTCTCGTCCAAGTCTCTCTCTTTAGGTCAATTATTTTGACTTTTTTTATCCATTTATTTTCTCAATTTTATTATCTATTATTTTAATTCTATAATTTGAGTTCATCTTTTAGTTAAAATGTATAATTCAATACATCTTCTAAGTAAGATCATGGTGGAGTATTAAGAATTTACCTCTAAAATCACTCATTAAATAAAATGTAGTATTCACTAATTTTATAAACTTTTAATGAATTTCAATATAATTAACATTTATAAGATGGTATCGGGTCATTATAGTTGGTTTATTTAAGAGAAACCTCTTTCTTAGTGAAATTAACTGAGAAACATGAGCGTTTTTTTACACTTTCTCTCGGAGTTTGAATTCATGAGCTCAGATACATGAATATCATTTGGTTAGTTCGAAAATTTAGAAGAACATAAACGTTTTGTTGAAGGAAAGGGTTAGAAATTTTTGTTTTAGCTCATTAGCATTTTATTTGAGAGTTAATAATGAGAACTTTAAAAACTTTGGGACCACGACCCATAATAGGTCAAAATTGGGACTATTATGAATTTAATATAAGGTTCAAATTTGAACATGAAGAGATTCATTCCCATGTTTTATGTTTGACCACCCTTTCCTTTCCTTTTGTTTCCTAAATCATTTTATTATCTCAATTATTTTATGATTCATAATTTTAATTGTTACAATTAAATTCATTTCATTATTTTTAATTCGCATAAACCATCAAATCCTTATTTTTTTAGGATAAAGCTGAGATTGAATCGATTTAAAGGATTTTGGAAATAAATAAAAAATTATGAATAATGAGATTAGAGTATGAAATAATATAATAATGATTAAGATTTAATTAATGGAACAATACTAAGAACACTCTTTATGGTCATTTTATACAGTTTTTTTTTTTAATATTTAGAAACAATTTCATTATTTCTTTTAATAATTGTAGAAGTATAAAAATAATATTTAAACTTCTTATTTTTTATGTTCTTTAAAATGGAATGGAGAATGATTTGTTTTTGGGAAGAAGCAAATAAAGGCAATCATTTGACTTATCTTCCTTAAATTATTAAAATATTTTTTTATTTGATTCTTGTAATAGATCTCCTTTTACTTATTTACATCTTGATTATTCTTATAATTTGGAATGAAATATTTTGGTACATTTTTAAATAGGTTTTTAACATGGTTTTGAAAAACAAAAGTTTTATATGAAAGAAAAATTATTGGAAAATTTGATTTTAATTATTAGTTTTAAAAATAGATAATTTGATTATAATAATAAGAAATCAGGAGGCTAAATTTTAAATAAAAAATATTTTTAGTTGTATATAATTTTTTTAAGAAAAAGAGAATTACAAGATGGTGATAAGATAGAAAAATAAGAATAAAATGTCTTCTTAGTCATAAAGACAAATAAACAATTAAGTAACCTTCAACTAGACTTTTTATTATTATTAAACCGCACTCTTCTTTTTAAACAACATAGATTATAAATATACTTATACATTAATATTATCATCTAAATAATTAGAATACCTGAAACAATATTAAAAGATTAAAAATTGTTATATTAGAACCAAAAGTAATGGTATGTGTAATAATATTGAAATAACATTAATTTATGTTTTGGAAAATGTATTTTGAGATAAATTATGTACAATGAAATATTGTTTATTATTTTGTTCTATTGATTGTGAACATTTCATTTGCCAGGGCGCTGCATGAAAAAGAACGGAATCGCATGTCAAAAGAGAAATTCTTTATAATTGCAGTTACATGCAGCTTCGCGTGGTACGTGGTGCCTGGCTACCTATTTCCGACCCTGTCACTTATTTCGTGGGTGTGCTGGATATTTCCACGTTCAGTTACTGCTCATCAAGTTGGGTCCGGCAAGAATGGACTTGGTTTGGGTTCCTTTTCTCTTGACTGGACCACCATTGCTTCGTTCCTTGGAAATCCCCTTGTTACTCCTTTCTTTGCAATAGCAAATGTGTTTGTGGGTTACATCTTACTGATTTACCTCATCATACCTACTGCATACTGGGGATTTAATCTTTATAGTGCGAGGAACTTTCCCATATATTCTTCTAGTCTATTTACTGTCAACGGTGACTATTACAATGTTACGGCTATTGTTAATCAAAAATTTGAGATAGATATGCAAGCATATGAGAAAGAAGGTCTAGTAAACTTAAGTGTGTTCTTTGTTATTAGTTATGGTCTTGGTTTTGCTGCCATTGCCTCTTCCCTCACTCATGTTGCCATATTTAACGGGAGGTATAGTTTTAAAAGTAATACTCGTCTTGTAGTTCTCAATTATACTATACCGTTAAAAACTAAATTAGTATTGTTGGGTTATTCAGAGAAATATATGAACAATTTCGATCCTCGCGATTTGGAAAAGAAGACATTCATACAAGATTGATGAAGAAGTATAAGTCAATCCCAAATTGGTGGTTTCACGTAACGCTTTTGATTTCTTTCATACTTGCACTTGTACTGTGTACTGTTATGAAAAATCAGGTACAAATGCCATGGTGGGGTCTCGTCTTTGCGGCTGGACTTGCACTCACTTTTACTCTCCCCATTAGCATCATAACAGCTACCACTAATCAGGTATTTAACAAATTATTTGAACCATTTTTTTTCTTGAGTGGAAAATTACATGCAATTCTATTATGATTCGTCAAATACGATGAAGAGATATCTCATTTGTGTAGTTTGGGTCTTGAGTGAAAATTACTTGTAATTCTGTTCTGATTCGTCAAATATAATGAATGTAGTCTGAGATGTATATATTTTATTGACTATTTTTTGTTTTTATTATATTCTTTTCAGAGTCCAGGTTTGAATATTATTACTGAGTATATCATGGGTGTGATTTTACCGGGCGAACCAATAGCAAATGTTTGCTTCAAGACCTATGGGTACATAAGCATGTCACAGGCGGTTTCCTTTCTCTCTGATTTTAAACTAGGACATTACATGAAGATTCCGCCACGGTCTATGTTCATAGTTCAGGTATATACTTTTGTTACGTATTTTAGTTTTTAAAGGAGAAAAAGAATCTAATACCGGGAAAGATTTTCATAAAATTAACATACACGCCTAAAATTATAAATTATGTCATCATAAACATGTATCTTGACAACATCCAGGAAAAACTTTTAATTAAATTCCATTGGTTACATCTATTAACAACTGCAGATTAAACTATTACTATTTTTTGTTTTCATTTTCAACTTTACATTTTAGTATAAAACTATTTGTTAATCTATTATCTTTAAAGTGTCATTTTGACAAGTAGAAAAACTCAAATAACTTTAATTTTTGTTTATTATCGTTATTACTTTTTAATCTAATAGTTTTACTAACTGAATATTCTCTTTTAAAATATATAACATTTTGACGAGAACAAAATTTATTTATAAATATATGTCATTTACAAAGTTTAAAATTATATTAGTTATACTTGTGTTTTTTTTTTAATTATATTTATTATTACAAAGAGAAAATACCAAGTTGTTTAAAGTGATTTTGAATGGAAAATATTAATATTATAAGATATTTATAGAAAAATATTAACAAATTTATTAAATATAATAAAAATTTAATATTTATAATGATTTTTGTAATCTTAAATATTATACATTTTGAAATAGAATATATGAATATTAATATTATAAGATATTAATAGTAAAAAAATTTAATAAATTTACTACAAATAATAAAAATTAATTTTGTAACCTTAAATATTATACATTTTGAAACAGAAGGAATGAATATAAACATTATAAAATATTTATTAAAAAATTAATAAATTTTATTAAAAATAATACAAAATAATATTTATAATGATCTTTCTAACTTTAAATATTATATATTTTGAAATAGATTAATTTTTAAGAAGAAAATAAAAGAACTCTTTTAAAATTATTTTTTTAATAACTTGCAAGAAAAATCTTAAATTATTTTAATGACAGCGTAGTAATAATAAATCAAATTAAATCCCGCTTATAATTATCTAACCAATGGGTATTTGAAATTTTTAATATTATATACTAGGTTATAGGGACGCTGATAGCTGGAACGGTTGACGTTGGTGTCGCGTGGTGGTTGCTAGGTTCAGTAAAAAATATATGCAACCAAGATTTACTGCCTGAAAATAGTCCATGGACTTGCCCGGGTGACCATGTTTTCTTTGATGCTTCTGTGATTTGGGGTTTGGTTGGCCCAAGGAGAATTTTCGGTACATTAGGACAATACCCAAAACTTAATTGGTTCTTCTTAATAGGAGCAGTGGGACCACTTGTTATATGGGCACTACATAAAGTCTTTCCCAAACAACATTGGATATCCTTAATTCACCTTCCCGTGCTTCTTGGAGCAACTGCAAACATGCCACCAGCTAGCACAGTAAACTTCAATTCATGGATTATCGTTGGCACAATCTTTAACTATTTTGTATTCAAATATCGTAAGAATTGGTGGAAGCGATACAATTATGTGCTAGCAGCAGCTTTGGACGCTGGATTGGCTTTCATGACAGTTCTTCTATACTTCGCTGTTACCATGGAGGGGAAAAGCATTGAATGGTGGGGAACTGATGAGCATTGTCCCTTTGCCACCTGTCCCACAGCAAAAGGTGTAGTTGCTAAAGGATGTCCTGTGTTTTGATTCGATTTCTGTCATCACATATTTCTAACTCCAACTCTATTATAGCTATGATGATGGGGGAAGGAAATGTATTATATTCAAGAATACAAGTTGAATTAGATTCTTAATTTGAAGTTTCTTGTTGGACCTTTGTGCTTGTTACCAATGGCAACTTCTGATTCCTGAAAAGTCATCCGTTTTTTTCTTAGTTGTTTCTAATGTAATTCATTTTATTCTCAAACAGCAACAAACATATATGTTCATTTAGGTAGGTTAACTATACATATATCACCATGCCAAGTTATTATTATGTTTAAGAGAATTTTTATTTTTTTAAAATATACTATTTACAATTGGCAAGAATTACATATAATATATTTTTATACTTTAATTTAATTTTTCATAAATAAACGTTATTATTTTTAATATTTTCGTTATTTTCAATTTGATAATTTTATTATTATTATTATTATTATATATATATATATATATATATATAATTTAGTTAGACATGTATGATTTTCTTTTTATATATTACTCTTTTATTAATTATAATAATTAACTTTTTAATACATTTTGATAAGATTTTATCTTCAAAGTTAAAATCAATAAAATTATTTAATATATATATATATATATATATATATATATTAAAAGTTATATACAATATAAAAATAAAATAATTAATTTTATTTGTATCCTATCCGTGTAATTCAAAATTAATATAAAAAATAATTTTTAATAACATTAAATATATTTTGGTACTGATATCCATATGTTCATATAATTACGGACACACATAATCTATTATGTAATAAAAAATTATATAGTTACATTATTTAAATAATATTTTGTTTAAAAGTAACAAGTGGTAAGAATGATGTAAAATTAATATTATATATAATTATATATCTTATTTATATAAAAAATGTTTAAAATATTATATTTATGTCATGTACGATTTGTTGAATTTTCAATCATATTTATACTAACTAAATTTAATAAAGAAAGAAAATATATATATAAAAAAAAAGTTATAACGCTAAAACAAAATGAGTTCTATCTATGACAAACCAATTCAAAAATTGTTTGGTTTAAATTTTAGTGTGGTTGTTTTTAAGTTAACAAACAAAACTAAACATAAAATTTTTAGTATTGGAGTAAACAATACAAAAGAAACTTTGTATATTCTTGGAGAGAATTACATTTTCCACAAACACTTTAAAATTACAAAGATAATGTGCAGATCATGTAAATACATCATAATATAATTTTTTTTATCGGCTTTGGAACTTGGATACAAATATTAGTAGTGGATGTGCCAGATAATCTGGTGTAAAGTGCCCCACTATATGGTCATTCTTTTTTAAATGAATTGGATTGAATAATGATTTAAAAAGAAAATAAATAAAGCCTACAAATAATCAACAATATTATAACATCAAAAAATGACTTGAAATAATAAAACAGTAAATGATAACAAACTATTTATACCATAAAACAATTTTTTCATTCTAACAATCCATGAACCCCAACACTTGAAACAAATTAGATACATTATAAAGAAGCAATAGCATAATAAAACAAACCAATTTAAAAATATCATTCATCAAAATTGATTTTTTTTTTAAATTGTTTGGTTTAGTTTTTGATTTGATAGACAAAAATCAATTCATAATAAAAACCACATATAATAAAATATATTATTGAAAATAAAATATAAAATAATACTTTTTATAATTAAATTAATTATTTTTTTATAATTTAAGATTATTATTACTATTATTATTAAACTGAAAAATAAATTACAATATAAATATAATTAATTATATAATACTTTTATAATAGTTTTTTTGTTAAATAATTGTTTTATTATACTAGGTTTAATAAAATTATAATAAAAAAACTATAAAGACGATATAAAATAAATTATAAAATATTAATTTAAATTTATTTTAATTTAAAAAATAAAAATTAATTCAAACAAAATCGTATTTAACTTTTATATTTAATTCAAACTATTTTTTTAATATAAAATCGATCAAACCTAACTTAAAACTCTTATAAAAAAATTTAAAATATTAAAAAAAACAGGACTTTTATCTATAAAAATTCTATACCAATAAATGGATGCAAGTTGTTTAGATAATTAAAAGTTATCTCACATGCTAGTCATCCATCAACACATAGCATCAAAATCAGGAATTATTTCCCTAACTAAAAAATAAAATGCATTAAATAGATGATCCTAGTGTAAAGTACTATTATATTAGTTTTTGAAATTAAAGTAAGTTTTTAAGATGTAAATAGGTGTTTAAATTTGATTAATATAATTTTAGTATTTAAACATGTGTATTAATATTAAATTAGAATAATTAACAGATTATATATATATATACACACACTTGCAGAAAGATTACCATAATAGCAGTTAAGTTCACAACAAGAATTTAATATATTAATTTCCTGTGAACAACAATCGCCATTAGTGTTTCATATGAACTGATTACATGTAGGTGCAGCAGTGCAGATGAATTATTGCTACTTACTATGTATTTACTGCATCAAAAACCAGAAATTGTTGTACATATGCATTAGCTGACCTTAACTTTTAGAGCCTTAATTATCATTGCTTCAGAAATTTATGAGAGCAAGGTGCTGCATATCTAGCAGAAAATCCAAGATGCAACGATTCTTCATCGTCCTCCACCAATCCCTCGTCAAAGTTCTGAGCATAGCTTAAAGGGTCATACTTAAAACCACCAACTGGTTTACAAGAGCTTGTTCTCTTTGCCCATGGAAGCTTCATTTTCAGACACCCCCAGCATGAAAGCCACCCTCCGTCTGGTTTGCTTCTGGAAGATGAGTTTTTTTCCATGACCTCGACGTAGCTTCATTCATGGAATGAAACTTCAATCTAGCTTCCAGTCTTTCTGCTTTCTGGGGTGTTATTATCTTGTTCTAAAATTTTGTTTGCTATGGATTTTAAGTGTGTGGTAGAGAATAATAATAATTTAAGAAAAAACCCTTTTTTGGGTTTGTAATAGATAATGTAAGAATAGAAGAATCTAGTTTTGTCCTTTCTGTATTGACTCTGTGCTGATGTGAATAGAATATCAGAATGCAAATGGTGCATTTAGATTTTTATTCTCCTGGTAAAATCGAGAGTGGAGGGGACAATGAAAATATAGAAAGAACATAATTCTCGGGAATCTATCACTTTTCTCTTGTCTAATAAATATTCAATAGCCCTAGGTCGGTGATTTCAGCGGAGAATTATAATTCCCATCACAAAATGTTTTCAAATTTTCTTATAACCTATCATTATAACAGTAAAAAGGAATCACTCCATGTTTAAATGGAACTTATACAATTTAGAACAATGGTTAACACTATGCATTTAAATGATATGAAGGTATATATTTAGATACATTTTTTCATAATAACTTGAAAAAATAGACGAGATTAATATCTGGTATAATAAGTTGGAGAAATTTCAACCAAATGAAACTTAATTAGGTGGAGGTAATTAACAATATTACTATATAATGATTGTCTCAGATGAAGAACTGCATTAAAAAAGGAAAATTTCTGAACCTTCTGGTATAAATTAACCAAGAGTGTGAATGAAGATTATGGTAAGTGAATATTTCAGTTTTTTGGGTATATGTAACTAAAAAATGGAGATGGGGTGAGGTTGAAATAATCTCAGTTGAACAAGAAAGAGACTTTTTTTGTTTGATCATGCAACAGAGAATATTCTTAAAGGACAGAACTTATGCCATATTAATAAGAATGTTTTGCATCATTGATTTTACTTTTACACTGAGATAATAATCATTATTTTAGAAATTAACAGTTGAAATTGTAATTAATTTTATTTTTTATATATTTATTTTATTTTATCTCAATTTTCTGGGATTAGTTTTATAATGAAGGATTGTAAGTGTATCTTTTTGTGTTTTGTATTTTTTGAAGTATATAGTTCCAATCATAAATTTGGAATGGTTTAAGAGAGTGTGTCTGAGATAGTTCTCAAAATTAAATCATTTTAATAATTGATTATAGGTATATTTGGAAAAAATTATAAGCGAAATAGAAAAGGAAAAATTAAGCTAATTTTTTCATGAATTAAAATTAATCATGTATAAACTAAATTATAAATAGTATTTTATATGAATTTGTCTACAATCTTATTTTTATCTCATGAATAAGTTAATATTTATTTAAAGATAATTTATTTTTATTATTTTTTCTTCTGTAAGTGTCTCATATGTAAGATATTATAATAAAAAATAATTTGTATTTGAGTAAGTTTGTTAAAAAATATTTTTAAGATAACTAATTTCGTTTAATTAAAAAAAACAGTTTTAATTTCAGAAAAAAAATAGTGATAAAGTTGAGAAGGAAACAATATTAAAAAAAAATCCTAAACTACAAATTTTCATACTCTTAAAATTGATGTTTTTCCAGAAATTATTTTTGTGAATTTATATTATTTTCCTAAACATGCAACTTAAAGTGCGAATAATTTTTTTTAATAAAAAAACAGTTGAAAGTTTAAAATTTTTTTCTTCTTTTTCACATATTTTATTTTTATATAAAAAATCTCATATTAATTAAAGATAATATAAGATTATATAATATAAGTGAATAAAATTTTATAAAATTTTTACGATTAACTTAAATATATGAGTTTCAAATGACATGAATTTTGAATAAAAAGGTTAAATTCTTATGTCCCTAAGTAGTAAATACCACCTATACCCTCCCCATTGTAAAAGATAGACCCAGTTTTTAGAAATAAAGGAAAACCCATTTAGAAATTTTGGTCTCTATGCTCCTAACAAAAAGAGGATGAAGACGGTAACATGGTAGGATTCATGACATTCATTTTAGCCTTTTTTGTTAGAAGTGATGTGTTTGGTAAAATTGTGCAAGATTTCAATCATGGAGGTAAATTTTTGTCTCTTTTCAATACAATGTAAACAAATAATCTCTCCACTCAAATAAAAAGCAAAATGTGTTGTAAATTAAGGGGTATTGCAAAATAGAGCACGTGTTCTCACACGTTGCAGAAAACTGTTTCAGAGAACATGTTCTCACACGTTGCAGAACACTATTTCAGATAACTTTGCAGAAGATCGTTTTAGAGAACTTGTTCTCACACAAGACTATTTCAAAGAACGTTGCAGAAGACTATTTCAGAGAACGTCAGATAACGTTACAGAGAATGTTACAGACCCATTACCAAGTCTTTCATAACTGTTATAGACTTTCTCTTATAAATAGAGACCACTTCACACTCTTCAGAACACACCTCTCTCATATTCTCTTCTCTGATCTTCTTTCTGTATTCCTGGGTTAATTTACTCTTTTGAGAGCTTCTTGCTAGTTTATGAGATCCTCGGATATTCCGAGAAGTTCCTGTTGTATCCTGTGGGACTTGCACAATACACGGCGGATAAGTCCTTAAGGGCAGTGATTATACACGCCTCAGGAATAAAGTTTGGTCGTGTCTCTGTCAGCTTTTACAACCATCTTAAGGACTTATGATTGATAGTACGAATATCAACAACTTCCTTCAATAGTTTTAGAATATTGGATAGTGAAAGAAAGGGAATTATGAAGTACTCATGGATCAATGTTAGTCTTCTGATTACGATTAATGTATGTTATTACGTGAGAATCAATTCATGTATGTTATTATATGATTATGATTATGATTCATGTATGTTATTACGTGAGAATCAATTCATGTATGTTACTATATGATTATGATTCATGTATGCTATTACGTGAGAATAAAGAATCTAAATGTGAAGAGTAGTTTTATAGAATATAATGTATAAAAACTACAAATTAAAATACATGTGGTATCAGAGCCATACTTATTAGATTTATGCTTTTTCTCTTATGATAATTTTTAAATTATGTTTTTCCCAAAATTGAATAAAGGAATAAATCTTAATCTATGTTTTAAGCTGCAATCAATTTCAAATTGAAATTAATTTCATAGCCCCTGTGTGAATGACACTGCAATTCCTATTGAAATGTGAATGACCCTGTAATTGATTTTAATGGAAAAAGCAAATTACGTGATTGGGTTAAAAGTGAATCATATATGAAATTGATTACCGCATGTTATAATTATGATGAAAAAAAAGTAAACTTTTAGATCAAATGCTATCAGCATACACACGCAGCTTGTCCATAGAGCACACGTGTCAAACACAAGTTCCTTCTCGGATTTATTACACCAATGAAACAGGAAAAATGAATTATGCTTCATGAGTATATGAATTATGCATGAGTATTATATATTGTGAGAGATTTGTTTTGGTAGTTACGTGTGCATGACTTAGATCTGCTTATTATTTTGTACATACGTATAAGATATTATTTTGTCTGCATATTATTTTGTACATATGTGTATAATATTATTTTGTCCATATAATATCTTGTACATACGTATAAGAAAGGGTTTGAGGTTATGAGATTGTATTAAAGTAATGAATCTAACCCCACTTTATCTTCAAGAAGAAGGAAAATTATTTTTCCTTCTTCTTGAAAATATCATTATTGTGGTCGTTTCCTAAATAAACCTTGTAACAAATGTGAGCAAATAGGTGGTAGACTCTGGTGCTACCAGGCACATCTGTGCAAATATAAGTGTTTTTACCTCCTATACTAATGTTGGGGATGGAGAAGAACATATTTATCTCGGTGATTCTAGGACAACTCCTGTCTTAGGAAATGAAAAGTTCTTCTAAAACTCACCTTTGGAAAGACTCTGACCTTGAATGATGTGCTACATGTGCCATTAATCAGAGCTAATCTAATCTCTGTAGCACTGTTGGGAAAAGTTTGGAAAGTTGGGGTTAAAGTGTCATTCGAATATGATAAGATTGTTATGACAAAAAAAATGTATTTGTAGGGAAGAGATATTGTGACCAAAGCCCTTGGTTGTTAATGAGTCTTATTGTTCTGCTTATATTATTGATTCATATGATCTGTGACATTTATAGATGATTGATTACTCTAGATAAACCAAAGTATACTTAATCAAATAGCTTTAGTGCACCTAATCACCCTTGAGAGAAGATATACTTACAATGTTTATTTTTAAGAAAATTGGTAAAACTCCCTATGAGTTATGGAGAGGTTATAAACCTTAAATATCTAAGAGTGTGGGGTGCCTAGCTAAGGTAATGTTACCCAATCATAAGAAAAGGAAACTAGACTCTAAAACTTCTGATTGTATGCAGAACATAGTGCTACCTATAGGTTTTTTGTCCTCAAAAGTGATAATTGAGCATAATACTATAATGGAGACAAAAATGTTAAGTTCTTTGAACATATCTTCTCCTCTAAAGGTTAGTGAGATACTTAAACAATCTATAGAGATTAATAGTGATAAAATATATGAGGATTTGAGGAGAAGTAAAAGACAGAGGAAGGAAACCTCATTTGGAGATGATTTCTACACTTATCTAGTTGAAAATGATCCAATGAGTTTTTTAGAGGCTACTAGGGCTACTAATGCAAAATATTGGTATAAGGTCATTAAGACTGAAATTGATTCAATTAAGAAAAATAATACTTGGACTTTGGTATATTTGCCTAGAGGAACAAAACCTATTGATTGTAAGTGGATCTTTAAGAAAAAGTATCATTCTGATGGATCCATAGATAAATATAAGGCAAGATTAGTAGCAAAGGGTTTTACTCAAAAATCCAACATTGATTATTTTGACACCTTTGCCCCTGTGACTAGGATTTCCTCTATTTGAGTTTTGTTAGTTCTAGCAGCTATCCATAAACTAGTTATACATCAAATGAATGTTAAGACAACCTTTTTGAATGGTAAATTAGAGGAGGAAATTTATTTGACTCAACCTGAAGAGTGTGTTGTTCCAGGTCAAGAGAATAAAGTGTACATACTTTTAAAATCCTTATATGGATTAAAACAAGCACAAAAACAATGGCATGAAAAACTTGATAGTGTTCTACTTTGTAATGGCTTTTCAACTAATGATGTTGATAAATGTGTGTACTATAAATTTGAGAGTGGTGAATGTGTCATTATATGTTTATATGTAGATGATATGCTAATATTTGGTACATGCATTGACATTGTCTCCAGAACTAAGTTGTTTCTGGGATCTAAATTTGAAATGAAAAATATGGGTGAAGCCAATGTGATTTTGGGTGTTAAAATCATAAGGAAGGGCGATAGTATTTTTCTATCCCAAGAACAATATATTGAGAAACTTCTTAGGAGGTTTGAGTGTTATAACGCCAAACCAGTGAATACCCCTTATGATGCTAACTCTAAGTTAAAGAAAAATAGAGGAGACTCAATCTCTCAACCTCAGTATGCCCAGGTAATTGGGAGCTTATTGCATTTAATGAGCTTTTCTAGACTTGACATTGCTTATGCACTAGGTAGACTGGGTAGGTACACTCAATGTCCTAATCAAGAACATTGGAATGCACTTACAAGACTTATGAGATACTTAAGAGGTTCAATGGATTATGCCATTGAATATAGTGGATTTCCCGTTGTACTAGAAGGATACAGTGATGCTAACTGGATTTCTGATTCAGATGAGACAAAATCCACTAGTGGCTATGTATTCACACCCGGGGTGGTGTGATTGCACGGAAATCAGTCAGGCAAACAATTATTGCAAGATTAACAATGGAATCTGAATTTTTTGCTCTCGAAATGGTTGGTAGTGAAACTGAGTGGTTGAAAAACTCTTAGTAAACATTCCATTAGAAATGAAACTGATCTTGTCTGTATCACTGTGATTGTCAATCGCTAATAGCTATAACAAAAAATAAGAACTACAATGGAAAAAACAGACATATACAGTTGAGACATAATTTAGTGAAACAGCTGCTAAAGAATGGAACAATTTCCATTGACTATGTGAAGTCAGAATGGAATCTAGCAGATCCTCTGACAAAACCCTTAGCGAGAAATATGATTTTAGAAACATCGAGGGGAATGAGACTTAAGCAACTTGCAAACAAACAGGTGATGGTAACCCAACCTTTGTGATTGGAGATCCCATGAATAAGGTTCATATGGGTAAAAATAAGTCACTTGTTAGTTCTGCTAGCACTAAAATTGATTAAAATCAATTATGTTCATTCCTATGGTGTATATGTGAAAGTGCTAGATACTGCATCATTGAGAGGTTAAACTTTGTAATTAAAATTCTATGTTGTGTACGAATTTTAGTTTAAACAAAGTTTTTAAACGATTTTATATCCCTTAAGGGTGTGTATGATTTGCAGCATACGCTTGATGAAGTCACCTATATGAGTGTCGAGTGGGACCGCTTGTATGAGATCTTTGCAAGATTTCTAGAGCACTCATGAATACCGAGCACGCGCATGACCTAGTAAGCGCAACACAGCTATAACAACAAAAATTGTGGGGGGTATTGTGATTATTAAAACTGTTAACACACATAAAGTGTTTTGGTTCATATAGCTTGTTACACCAACTACACTGTATGTTAAGTTTTTTAGTCTAAGACTGGTTCATATAGCTTGATATACTATGCATTACATCTTATATGAGACCCATGATTTTCTTCTTTTATTTCTTTTATCCCCTTTTATTTTGCAATATGTGGGGGATTGTTGTAAATTAAGGGGTATTGCAAAACAGAGCACGTGTTCTCACACATTGCAGAAAACTGTTTCAGAGAACGTGTTCTCACACGTTGCAGAAGACTATTTCAGAGAACATTGCAGAAGACCGTTTTAGAGAACGTATTCTCACACACGTTGCAGAAGACTATTTCAGAAAACGTTGCAGAAGACGGTTTCAGAGAACGTTACAGAGAACGTTACATGGAACGTTACAGACCCACTACCAAGTCTTTCATAACTGTTACTGTTACAGACTTTCTCTTATAAATAGAGACCACTTCCCACTCTTCAAAACACATATCTCTCATCTTCTCTTTTCTGATCTTCTTTTTGTGTTCCTGGGTTAATTTACTCTTTTGAGAGTTTCTTGCTAGTTTCTAAGATCCTCGGATATTTCGAGAAGTTCTTGTTGTATCCTGGGAGACTTGTACAATACATCGCTGATAAGTTCTTAAGGACAGTGATTATACACACCTCAAGAATAAAGTTTAATCGTGTGTCTCTTAGCTTTTACAACAAAATGTTAGATGGTGTCAAACAATGAAGTAATTATATCTCACCATGTTTTCCCTTTTCCTAACTCTTTCTATCTATACCCAGCCAAACAAAGCATCATAAAGGGGAAGAAAAATATAAACCTGACATATAATTAATATGATGTGATGTAAAGGGAAAAAAAAATATTAATGAGTTGGAAAGTGAAGATAATTATTTATTTTCTTGTTGATGTGTTATTTAAGTAGACAATAAGTGTGTGTTTGAATATTTATATCAAATTAAAAAAAAAAACACTGATTAGTATTTGTAACTTCCATCTTTGCACAATATATATATATTTTTTTTACTAACGTATAACCATAATAAAAAAAGTAAAGTTGATGAGATAATTTTTTTATACTTTAAAACAAGATAAACTTGAATTGTGCATAATGAAGTTAAAGAAAAATTGAATTATGTATGGTTTCCCTAGTTCATGAATCAACTCCACACATACTTATGGGATAATATATTTTAAATCATTAATTTCATATATATATTTTTTAAATTAATTTCCAATTTTACAAACTAAATAAATTAATAAAACGTGTAAAATAATTATAATTTTATATGTTAAGTTAAACTTTGAATTAAATAAAATTTTTATCGAGTCTAGTTGGATTTGTTCGAATCATTTATAGTCGTAGATGCATGAAGTTAATGAGACTTAAAAAATACTAACATGTGTGTGCCACTCAGTTTAATGTTGATTGGAAACTTATTAAGATTCATGGTGTTGAAATCTATATTATAAATTTTACTAGGTTTTAGTCGATAATAATAAGTGTCAGAAAAATATGATGAATAATCAAAGTAATTATGACAGAATTTTTTTAACTGAAATTGTAGCAATTACAAGACGAGTTTTTTTAATAGTAACTAATTAATTGTGGTTCAAATTTTTAATCATAATTAATTTAATTGCTATTAATAAAAGTGATTTCAATAATAATTAATTCGGTGAATATTATAAATGATAACTTTTGTGGTAATTTATTCAGTTCCAATTAAAAAACAATTCATCTTATACTTAATTCAACTTCTATGAAAAAGAGTAAATTGTATCATAATTAATTTAATTTAATAAGAAAAAAATAGTATAAGAAAAGGACGTGGCAATAACAATGATATATTTTATAAGAATTGAAAATTAGAATTGAGGATAAATATTCTTTCTGCCTTGATATAGTGTGAATGTAACGTAATGTATTTATTGTCTAAAATAATAGTAAAAATATCACGGAAATGATATCTGGAGGTTCAGAAGAAATAAAAAACCATATCCATAACCGAGGATGTCATGTTTGATTTTGTCACTGTGAAAAGCAACACGTGGAGGTTGTCATGTTTGATTTTGTCACTGTGAAAAGCAACACCTGGCACGACAACGTGCAAATCAATCACTAGGTTGTGGATGGTACCAGTGGCAACAGTGCTCCCGCACATTTCCTAAATGTAAAATTAAACGTGGCAATCAACAGCATTGCTTCCACATCCACTGCATGATATTAGATTAAAGACCCAAAAGAAATTCTGGTCCAATCCGAATGCAACTACACTAATAATATCTCCAGGTAGACAAAAATGAACAAATTGCACACACACCACTGGTGCTTGGTTTATAGATTGGCAGGAGTGACTTTGGAGAGATGAGAGCCTACTTCCAAGAAGTTCATCAGAAGCCTCCTTCAAAGCTATAGTGAAAACTTTCATGGGTAGGGTACTGAATGTGTTTTGTTTTTGTCTGTGTGAACAATAAGAGTCCCTCAAAAGGTGGGCAACAAAAGAACAGTCTTATCATGGAAAATGTCAGAAAGGATTAGGATCGGAGAGAATGACGCACTCCTGAAATTGCCTCAATTGTCTTTACCTTTTGAGTGACCATGGATGATCGATGACTAAATCACCCAATACCATGAGAAAGTAAGTCACACAAGCATGGAAGACTTGAGAGTGTAGGACAAGCCTGCAGTAGCCTCGGGTCAACCAAACAGCTACTATAATTGTAAAAATATCACGCAAAAAATAGCCTCCCTGCCTGTCACTGGTATTTCTCTTATATCAGTACAGTAATCAGAAGTATAACTAAATCTATTCCATCTCTTCTGTTAGTTCTGGTACATTTTTCTTTCATGAAACAATAAAGCACCAACTATGCTGGCTTGTATAAATAAGGTAACACTAATGCACTGATAAACCCAGAGCAATAGATAAAGCATATTTCTTCATTTTACAACAGACTGTACGGAGTATCCATTTGCTGAAAAAGAGATTGCTGTATGCAAAATAAGACTTACAAATTGATCTTTAAATCAGTCAAGGAATTACCATTCTTGTCAAATATCTTGCATTCTGAAATTCAGAAACTGTCACCATGAATGTCGAAGTAGGGTGGGGAAACAATATTAGTCTATTAATTCGGAAGCAGTGTATAATATAAATTAGAATTAAATATGTCTGCACTGAATTACAATGACCTCCTAACAAAATTGACACGCATTTCGGTAGCCCCTCTCCCTCCTCAAAATAAAAATCCAGAACAAGTAACTAACAAGAGGGGTTTAACAAAATCTATGTGCTCAAAAATGTTACTTAGCCATCTAAGTTTATGAGGTAAAAATGCATTTTATGCTACATCTTGACTGCTACATGTGCAGCTGAACTTTTCTTCACAAATCCTCTGGAACACAACTCGTTCAACAACTCCAAAGCTTCCTCAGCTAATCCTTCATCAGCAATACCTTCTATAAGAATGGTATATGTTGCTTCGGTAGGTCTGCATCCTTGCTCTACCATATATGCCAGAAAATCAATAGCACGACTAGTTTGCCGAGCCTTACAAAGTCCGGACATGATTGAATTGTAAGTGATAGCATTGGGCTTAATACTTAATCCTTCCATGTCATGGAAAATTTTGATAGCCTTATCAACCTTTCCTTCACGACCAAGTCCCCGAAGCAGTGACGAGTACGTAATTGTATCAGGTTTAAGACCCTTTCTACGCATCTCTTCTAAGAGTTCCACAGCAGACTCTGTTTTTCCCACCTTTGCAAGACCATCAATAACTGTATTATACGTAACCAAAACAGGAGAGCATCCCTTGCTACTCAGTTGATTCAGTATTTCAATTGCAGCTTCCACCTTCCCGTCTTTGCATAGTGCTGTAAGCAAAGTGTTATAGGTCACTATATCCGGGTAACAACCCCTTGACACCATTATTTCCAAATACTCAATCGCTCTATCCATCTTTTTCTCTTGACAAAACCCATGAAGCAATGGATTGTAACTCAAGGAATTTGGTACACATCCATGCTTTGGCATTTTCTCCAAGACATCAATGGCTCTCCCCAGTAACCGTTTCCGGCACAAAAAGTTGATCAAGATATTGAAAGTAACAACACTAGGGGAACAACCCTTCCTCAGCATATCAGCTAACAGCCTCTCAGCATCCATCCATCTCCCAGTACTACACATGCTACGCAGAATAATATTATGAGTGATCACATTCGGTTGACAACCATACGAAGACATGTTATTCAAAAACTTAATAGCCTCATCCAACCTACCCTCCTTGCAAATACCATTGATAAGAACATTGTAAGTGACCACATCAGGTTTACATCCTTTATTCCTCATCTCATCCAACAGTTTCATCGCTTGACCAACGCCACTTTCATTGCAAGTAGCTTCAATCAAAATCGTGTAAGTAATCACATCAGGATAACACTCCCTCTGCAGCTGCCTGTCAAGAACCTCCATTGCCTCCTTCAATTTCCCACTGCCACACAAACTACGCAAAATCGTGTTATACGTAACAACATCAGGAGCGACACTCATTCTTTCCAAAACCTGCAAGGCTTTATCTATCTCCCCTGATTTGCAATAACCACCAATCAAAACATTGTAAGTTATGACATCAGGAACAGCTCCAGAATTCTCCAAAATTTCCATGACTCTCGTTGCTTTCTTAGTCTTCCCACCCTTGCAAAACCCTCGAATTAAGCTGGTGCAAGCAATGACATCAGGGATATCCCCTTGGTAAATCATGCGCTCCAGAAACTTCAGCCCTTCCTCCAATTCCCCGTTTCTAATCAACTTCCGGAGATGAACATTGCTCGCAAACTCCTCGTAGTTCCGGGAACAGTTCACCCCGTTTGCCGAAGATTCGGTTGCTATGCCATTCACGTCCCCGTTTGGGGTGCTCACAATTTGCTGCAGTCTGCCGTTCAAACCAGAAGTTTCGGACTTGGAGACTGCGAAAACGCGATTGTCTGAACGCTTTCTAGACCTAGTCGCTTTCAATTTTGTAAAGTGAGTAACAGTATCAGAAGATAGAATGAAAGGACGCGAAACGGTGCTATCCGAAACCCTAGCTCTGATTATGTGGAAGTGGGGAGATGAACAAAATTGTTCGGGTGGTGCAACTAAATCCATTGCTTTCTCTAAACTTGCAACACTTTTGTAATTGTTTCCACTGAAAGTATCGTGACTGGGTAAATGAGGATTGGTTTTTGTTTACCTCCACTGAAGAAGGCGAAGTAGCTGAAATTTTGAGGGGTTTTTTGCAGGGAATAATAAACAAGGCTACTTATCCGATACCCTTGGTTCTCGTTTGTACAAGATACACCTTTTATGCTTTTGTCATCACAAAAATTGGGCCGGGTTGGGCTTACCATTCTTTTATCACGTCTTTATTGTTTATCAAGTGGATTATTACTATTAACAACCATTTTCTCATACCTTAAACCTTTTATATCTTTCGAAAATTTTTAATAATTATTAAACTATTCTCCTATTCACACTCACTCTCTTACAAAACAATCTACTTATCTTTTATTTTTCCTATACAGCTAATTCATTATATATAAAAAATTCATCTGATTATATCTATCCTTATATAATGATTCACTTATTATTTTTTCAAACTTAATATATTTTCTTAGCACTATAACATATCAATGTTAATATAGTCAGGTTGTTTACTATTAAATATTTTTAAATTAATTTTTGAACAACTATTCAAAATATATTTTATGTTTCAAAAATATGTATTTTTTAAAATATTTTTACAAATTTTAAAGAATGATTTGGATTGAATTTTACTAAATAATTTATATTTTTAATGTAATTTTTAACAAATCAAAATAAATTAAAGTACTTTTTATTATTTAATTCATTATAATTCAAAATACAATTTCTTTTGTCCATCAAATTTGTCATCTCTATTCTGCATACATTATTTCTTAAATCTCACATCATTGTTTTCTTTATTTAATATACAATTTTATTCAATTATTATAATGGAATCAGTAATCGATATATATATATATATATATATATATATATATATATATATATATGACTTAATAAATAATTTATATCATTCTAAATATTTAAAACTTAAATAACTTTTTAATTTTCGTAGTTTTTTTCATATAATTCTCAATTTTTTATGTTTCACGTTTCATACATAACTTAATCATTGAATAAGATTAATAATATATGTATTTTTTTTGTCGTCAATAATCCATACGTTCTTGTTTTTTGTTTTCAATAAATTTTTTTCATTTTTGTCCTCCATGATTTAATAATTATATTTGTTTACCATAATATAAAATAAAAAAGTTATTGAATATCAAAAATAAAATATAAAAAATTTATGAATATATATATATATATATATATATATATATATATATTATAAAATTTATTCATGGTTATACAAATTTATATACATCTCAGCATTCAATGATCTAGTAGAATCAAACTAGAAATATTTTTTTTCATTAAAGATCAAAATTGCACAACCATTTACAGGTAAACAAATATTTAACTCTATTTTCAAATATATCAATTAGAATTACTATAAATAATTTATATTAAGATATAATATTATTTTTAATCATAAATAAATATTTTTAAATATATTAGAATTCAATTTAGAAACGTAAAAAATTAAGAAAATTTTCTAAAGATTGTCAGAATAAAAAACTCCTAACAATATTTTTATCTAATAATAATTTCTATAAATAAGATGAATAAAACTAATAAAAGATCATATCTTCCAAATGTTGTTATAATTTTTCGGCTAAATCATTTAAATTGTACTTTTTTTTGGCCCATGATATGTACTTGAAAATCAAAACAGTGACCAAGAAGCCCACACGGCCCAACTTGACCAAAACGGTAGGTCGTTGATGGCACCCTCGCCTTAATGGCGCGTAGGATAAACGGCACTCAATCATCTATTTTAATGGCCTAAGCTTCCAAAAAGTCTCATCAAATCAGAGTGGTTCAACAAGAGCAATTCTCCACTCTCCTTGTTTTACCCAAAATTTCCATAATAACCTATTTCTCCTCTTCTTTCTGTCGTATTTGTAATGTCTCTCTCTCTCACACACATAAATATTTTCAATCTAATTTGGTTTCTGTTTTTGTTTTCTTATTAGTTCTTAAATGTCTTTCCTTCTTTTATTCTCTCTTTAAGATCTGATCCTAGAAGGAGGCTTTATTGTTTCTACGACATGGCAGCCGTGTCCGATCAGGCCACTAGTGTATGCACTCACTGGTAAACACTTCCCTACCAATTTATGAATGATTTACCATGAAATGATTTCCAATTTAAAATTGGGAACTACGTCCAGTGAATTTTTTCTAGAATATTGAAATTGTGGATAATTGGCCTTATCTGTTCCGTGGATAAGAGTAATTTAGGTAAGAGTAATTTGACTCAGGACCGCTTCAGGGCGATGAAAGCCAAACTGATGTGCAATTATTAATCTGTTTCACCGATATATATTTTGTTTGATTTTCTTAGTTTTTTTTTTCTTCTATTTAGGGTGATGCTTTGTTCATACTGAATGCCTGAACGACGTTATTAAGCTTTGTCCTCAGGAAATTTGATCATGATACTTTCTCGTTTTGTTTTTTTCTTTTTTTTTCCAGTGATCGGGCCATCCCTTCAGCAAATATTGATTTGCATTATGCTCATTGCTCTCGGAACCTTGAAAGATGCAAAAATTGTTTAGATATGGTTCCGAAAACACTTGCCGAGGAGCACTATTTGAACACACATGCCCCGGTATGGAAACTTTGGAAACTATGGTCTTGTTTTACTTGACAAAGTTATTAGCTGAAAAGTTTTCTACTTTGGAGATAAAGAAAATCAGAGATTAAATATAAGATATTTTTTGTTTATTTTTAAGACTTTTGAGGGACTAAATTGATGTCTTTGTGACAATTGATTTGACAATTTTAGTGGTGGAAAAATCCGCCGATCCATGTATCATTCAATCAAACTCATCTAGTTACGACATAGATCTAATGTGGATTTTAAGATATTTTCGATTTATAATGATAATTGATCTAACTAGATATATTAGACGCCTGTTCAACCGAGAAAGTTGCCAAACTGAACGTTGAGATTGTTTCATGAGTCACTTAGCGCCTCTTACTGGTTGTAACGATATCTCTGCATATATTTTGGACTAATTGAATCTGCCAGCTCCGAAAAATGAAACTCAATCAACACTGTTAACCTTCTTCGCTCTTGTTACCCCTTATCTATCTCTAAAATTTACCTTAAGATGGGTCCTTGTGTTAGAATTTTTATCTTTTGCATCTTGTTTTCCATATATTTAGTTCATACTATGTATTCCATCACCTTTTTCTTGAAAGGATATAAAAGATTGTTCAAATTAATAACTACATAAAAAGTATTTAAAAGTTAATTAAACTAACTTGATATGATTTCTGGTTTTCAAATTTATATATTTACCTAAAAAAAGTTTAATTTGGCAACATTGAACTGGGCATTGACCAAATATAAATTTGAAAACAACCTAATAAAAACACAAGTCACTTTAAATTTGAACAAAAATTAGATTATCCGACTGTCTATATAATTTTAACTACAATAGTAATTTTGTGTGGATCCTGAATTCTGAAAAATGAGAATGGCAGAGTTATAATTCCATAGAAATATAAAAAATAGAAAACAAAATAATAGATGGATTTGATATTTATCCATCAAACTTTATTAATGGATTGGTTGAGGTAGGATTGATTAAATGTCTTTTCTAGCATGGCTTCTAAGTAATTGATGCCTTAGTTCTTATATTTGGGATTGATTAAATGTCTTTTTCTAGCATGGTTTCTGAGTAATTGATGCCTTAGTTCTTATATTTAGTTTCTTAAAGGATTCTTTGTATTTTGATTTTTTGTTTCTAGTTGATGGAGTAGGATGGGGTAAAGTTTAATACCCAAATATAAATATTACTTATTTAAGTAGCTCTTTCAATTTTCCTATACTCAGTTAATATGGCTTTAATATTTTAGTAATCATGTAGGGAAAGGGGATATGAAGTGTTGAGACATGTTGTTTTTCTATGTTTTTGTATTCTCTGTGTATGTTCCTTAAACTAGGGTTAAGGGTTTGGGCTGAGGCTCATATCCTCTCTGTTGTTTCTCCTTTATTTATAAATACAATGTAACAGTGTCTTTAGACATTGTATTGAAATACTAAATAAGTTTCTCAAGTTGGTATCAGAGCGGATACGATCCTGAATTGATTTTCAGTCATCCCTGTCATCTCCGGCCACCGTGGGCCGCTGTTCGCCGTCTCAGTTTGGTTCGGTGAAGGTAGGGTTCGATGTGCCTCGAAGAGCGCGTCCCACCCCGTCAATAGCTCCTCCATTTGCAGGCCCACGTGTCGTCACGCACAGCTTCTCCAGGTGGAGCTCCTAGGCGCGTGTGTCCCATGTGCCGTCCTCCAGCGGCCGGAATCAAGGCTGATTGCCATTGGTCGACTCGTCGGCGCCCTTCAAGTCTAATGGTGTCTCTATTTTTCTGTTTTGAGAACTTTGAAAGCTAGGTCACGTGGGTACCTTATTGGTTAGGTATATCTTTCATCTGAGTTTCATATAAATGACTTCATCTAGTACTTTTTCTTTTTCTTCTACTCCCACAATAACCAGTACCAAACTCAACTGGAAAAATTATCTATCCTAGTCTGCATCAGTTGAACTATGATTTCTAGGTCAGGGGTATCATGACCATCTGGAGAAAGATGTGAACTTTGTTTCTGCCTCATAGAGATCTTAGTGAGAGAAAATAGACTTCCAACTTTGTGCAATCTTATGACAATGTCATTCAAAACCTACTCTTCCTTTTGGAAAAAGGCTCAAGACATTTTTGGTAACGATATTCAACATTTTTTTATGCAACTCAAAGAGTGACGTCTCTCAAACAGACAAATCATGACATGTGTCTCACATTACAAAAGCTAGGGCTGCTGTGAAGGAATTAAAAAGATTTCTTATGGCAAATACCTTAGAGAAGTTAAACTCCAAACAGGATAAGTTGTATATGATCCTAATTTTGAGGAGTCTGCACTTTGATTTTGATCATGTACGTGATCAAATCTTAGCTGGTTATCAGTTCTGCCAATGGATAATCTTGTCACGAGGCTGATTCGAGTTCCAAATCTTATGGCAGATGAGAATCAGGTGGAGACAGTTGTAACTTTAGCTATGGTTGGTCCTCGTGGTCGAGGAGGTGGACGTAACAGTCAAGGAGGACGTGGGAGTACAAAAGGTCGTTCTCAATGTTCATATTGCAAGAAGATGGGGAACATGCATGAAAACTGTTATTCCTTACACGATTTTTTAGACAGGAATAACATTACCCATGTTTCTAAGTCTGAAAAATCGGATATGAAAATCTCTGATGAGGAGTATCAAGAGTTTTTGAAGTTCAAATCAGGAAAATTCAACCGCCAGGGTCAATCTTCTTCCATGCCTAGTATTTCAACACATGCATTTCTCAATCTGTAGAAGGTCAAAGCCCATGGATTCTTGATTCAAGTACCTCTGATCATATATCGGGTAGCAGTTCCTCATTTTTCTCCATGTCCTATCCTAAAATTCCTCATCTGATTAGTGTGGCTAATGGATCCAAAGTAAATTCACTAGGAATTGGCCATGCTCCTTTAACCCCTTCTTTGAATTTAAATTCTATTCTTTTCATTCCTAATTTCCATCATAACTTGATTTCTCTAAGTCAATTGACTCGTTCTCTGAATTGTTCTGTAACTTTTAGTTCCAATTCTTTTGTTATTCAGGAACATGGTACGGGTCGTCTGATTGGAGAAGGACATGAATCACGTGGTCTGTGGTATCTAAATCCAAGTCCTTCGGTGTCATGTCTTGGTTCTCCTGCTCCTAAACTTTTGCATAATCGTCCGGGTCACCCAAGTTTACCAAAGTTGAAAATGATGGGTCTTAATCTCAAAGATTTTTGGGGTTTAGAACGTGAATTTTGCCAATTAGGAAAACATGATAGGTTTACATTTCCTAAACACTCTGAAACTCGATGTAATTTTCCTTTTTCAAATATTCATTTTGATGTTTGGGGACTAAGTCATGTCTCTTCATTTGACTTCCGCTATTTTGTAACCTTTATTGAAGAATTTTCCAGATGTACTTAGGTTTATTTAATGAAAGACAGATCTAAAATTTTGTCCGTTTTTGTGTCCTTCTTCAATGAAATTAAAAATCAATTTGGGAAGATAATTAAAGTTCTAAGCAGTGATAATGCCAAAGAATATTTTTCAGTCTCCTTCTCTTCTTTTTTTATCTTCTCAAGGCATTTTACATCAGTCAACTTGCCTTCACACTCCATAGCAAAATGGTGTTGCAGAAAGGAAAATAGGTATCTTATTGAGACTGCACATTCTCTAATGTTGAATGCTAATGTTCTTGTTCATCATTGGGGAGATGCAGTTCTCACTACTTGTTTTTTGATCAATCGCATGTCATATTCTTCTCTTCAAAATCAAATTTCTCATTCTCTTATCTTTCCAGATGATTCTTCTTTCCTAATACTGTCTATGAGGCTTTTGATCACCATGGATGGTGTGACAAGCTATGATTGATGAAATGCAGACTCTTGAGCACAATGACACTTAGGAGCTTGTCCCTCTTCTCCTGGCAAAAAGATTGTGGGCTGTAGGTGGGTCTATGCGGTTAAATTTGATAATAATGATAAAGTGGATCGTCTTAAAGCTCGTTTAGTAGCTAAAGGCTACACTCAAATTTATGGTCTCGACTACTGTGATACCTTCACTACAGTAGCTAATATTTTCACCATTCGTCTTTTCCTTGTTATGGTTGTTATTCGTCATTGGCCCCTTTACTAACTGTGATATGAACCTCATTTGCACAAGGGCTGACTTAGAATCTTTAGGGTTAGAACCTTGTAGGAAATTTAGGAAATTAGTGAGAAGGTGGATTAGAAAGTGGTGAAAGTTTTAGGATTGAGCAGAATTTTAGAAATGTCGATATCTAGAGTTATAAAACTCCAATTGAGATGATTAATAAACAAGGTGAAAGTTCTCGTTATGAATTTCAATTTAGGCTAAAAAAATACTCAATTTGGACAAGTAAAACAAAAGTTATGACCATGAAATAAATTTGGACAGAATTGAGTTTTCTGGGTTTTGGTGAAGAAAGGACAAGAGGTGAATGTGAAAGGTTGAAGGAAAGAATCACTTTTCCCAAGGGAGGCAACTCACAAAGGATGTGAAAATACTTTGATATAGCCAAGGGTTCTTGAATCACTCAAGAATTTAAGAGAATCACTCTCACAAAGATAAAAAAGCTAAACTCTATTATTTCTGAATAAAACTCAACTTGTATTTTTGATAAAAATGGTTTAGTTTATATAGAAACTTTGTCATTAGAGTTACAAAGGTTTAATAAAGAAAAATAAATGTAATAATGATCCATTAATCTAGGAATTAAAAACTACTTTAATGGAGTCAAATCAATGTTAATAATGATCTATTAACCTAGGAATTGAAAAACTACTTAATGACTTATTGTAACTGAAATTGTGACAACCAAAGTTAATTAGCTATGCACCCTCTTGGTCTTTCAAAGGCTGAAGCCTAAGTTTCCAATTGGGCTCTTATTACAACTTGAAACAAAACCAAACTAAAGTCCATTAATTGATTAACCCAAACATAATTTTGTCAGCCAATTTTACAAAGGATTTGACCATTGTTTAAACAAACTTAAAGACTAAAACAAAGATGCATTAGTCTTTTTCCATTTGGGCCATGATGCAACTCACAACTTTGGTCTTTTCTTTTTGAAATATAGGCTTGTATTCAATTAATATGGACAACTCTTGTTGAAGAGCTTCCTTTACTTCCCTTGCTCTAACCCTTGTTATAGGTCCTCCAAGTCCTTCAAGTGAATTATTGCCCTTCAAGAAGAGATTTATATGGAGCAACCTCCTAATTTGTTGCTTAGGGGAAGTCTGGTGTAGTGTGCAAGCTACATTGGTCTCTTTATGGCTTGAAGCAGGCACCCCGAGCTTAGTTTGAAAAATTCAGTTCATTTGTTCCAAGCTTGATGCATATAATCTATATGCTCCAACTTGAAGAGGAGTGTTGAGACATGTTGTTTTTCTATCTTTTTGTATTCTTTGTGTATGTTTCTTAGACTAGAGTTAAGGGTTTGGGCTGAGGCCCATTTCTTCTCTGTTGTATCTCCTTTATCTATAAATACAATGTAACAATGCCTTTAGACACTATATTGAAACCCTAAATAAGTTTCTCAAGTTAAAGTAGTAAAATTTTTTGAGCCAGTCCTACTTTTATGTCCTGTATAGGATATGAAGGTGCCTATCATATCATAGAGTCTAGAAACTTTGAGTGTGAACTTCACACACTAAAGGAGGATGGCTACATTCTGATCAGTTCCTTCCCATGGTGCCTCCCTTCCCCTTTTCCCAAACGCTGCCTAGCACATTATAATATAATTCTTGAAGATTTAAAATTCACTTTTGCAATGATTATTCAAAAGAAAATGGTAATTTGTGCAGGTTGCCTGTTCGCTGTGCAGTGAAACTATGGAACGTGATATTTTAGATATCCATAGAGATGAAAAGTGTCCTAAAAGGATGGTCACCTGTGAGTTCTGTGAGTTTCCTTTGCCGGCAATTGATCTGGCTGAGCATCAGGTTGTGTTTATAATGGACTTTTTGCAATTTAGAAGTTTACATTAATCATTGTACTCTACTAATTTAAGTTTGATTATTAAACACCCAGGAGGTATGTGGGAATCGAACAGAACTTTGTCACCTTTGTAACAAATATGTTAGACTGCGTGAAAGATACAACCATGAAGATAGTTGCAATAGAATTCAAGAAAATTCTTCAGGGTCTTCAAGGTAGGAAATGTCATCATTTGATTGTAGTAAATGTTTCTACTATATTATTTCGTAGTTCAAAAAGCTTATATAATTAACACCACCTTGAGAGAGTTTTGGGAGGAAGAAAAGGTGATTATTTTCCAAAATGATAAAATGCAAAATGCAATGGCCAAAGGTTATTCTTAATGCAGCTAATGGCTGTTATGAGAGTTAGGGATGGATTATTTTCTTCTAATTTTGTTCCGTCCTGTGAAAGTCCTTAATGCATTTTTATGCTCTCTTGCTGAGTCTTTGTGGTGCCTGTTAGTCTTGGAGTTGAATACTTGGTCTGATGGCCCCTTTCAAGGTTAACTTGAAGTTTGTTTCAATCCACCTCCAAGCATAAAAGAAAAGATAAAAAAGTACCTTCTAAAGTTAGTTATGTTATTTTTATTTAAAATTGCTTCCAGAAGATTAAGATCATATCCAAATTAAGTTTGTAAGCATCTAGTTATTGATTTATATGCTGGCTTACTGCATATCATTACAATAACCTTGCATTCTGTTCTCTGGCTAACAAATGCATTAAGATTCTTTAGCTGATGCTTAAAGTTAAATGGTTACTATATATGTACAAATCTTTAACTGTTTAAAAAGTTGGGGTTATATTGCAAGTCCAAGCTAATGAAGATACTCTGAGGTGGAATCTACAGAAGTTTACTTCATGAATTTACATTGTGTATTGTTGTAGTTGGTGTAATTTCCGTATTATTAGCATGAGCATTGTGGTTGTGACAGATATTTTATAATTTTTTTAGTGCTGAATTGTACATTTTGTTGGAGCGTAGCAAAGAACTGTCATTTTGTGTGATGTCTGACTGTTTAAAAGTCATTGTCCACTTTCCCCTAGGGAAAAAAAAATATATATATATATGAACACCTAACAATTACTAGAATGTAGATGGTATTATGAGAATCAGAAGCAGAGCTTATATTAAGTGTAGATGGTAAAATAGAGATTCACATATTTTTAACCGCAGACAGGTTACATGAAATTTTGAACCATGAATAGTGATATATCTCACCAGCTTTTTATAAGTTGTTTCATTGTTAAGTTATTGTTTCGCTCAGGTTGTTTCTTTTTCCCTTAAAAGAAGTTCCTTCCAATTAGCTTTTGTTGAAGCACTTTTTTATGACTTGTTTCGTAAAAAAGAAAGCTATTTTCAAGTTTAGAGCCTCATGGAAATTGTGTTTGTTATAGCTTAGGAAAAAAAATAAAAAACCCTAGGCAAATGAGTGAAGTTTTGCTTGTTGTGATGCAGTTGACATTTTGGTGTGAATTGATATTTTTCACTACTATATGTGGGATACAACAATAGCTTACACCAAATCAGCAATAACCAACCTACCCCCTCTTCAGTTTTTTTTTTTTACTAAACCATCAGTTTAGTCCACTAAATATACACGTGACATCAATTTGGTCTTTTAAAGATTTGTGATATCAAATTAGTCCTCAAGTTTTTAAAGGATGTCATAAAGTGGTCCTTTTGTCAAGCTACATACATATAAGAGGACTAATTCAATATTATTTTATGTTTCAATGCCAAACTGGTGTCAAGAGTATCTTTATAGCACAAACGCTAGTTTAATCAATTTATTTATTTTTTTCTATTTCTAAAAAATGTTCTTATCTTATTAGGGGAGGTGTGGCATTAGCCATATGTGCATTTGTTGTTTTTCGTAATTGAATATTTACTTTTAATTTTCGTGTGAAGGTACGTAAGGCCAGTTGAAAGAGACGAAGGTCCTCGAAGAAGGCCGCAGAATGATTTCTCAAGAAAGCGTGTTTTTTTCACAATAGCAATCACCGGTATTGCTGTTATTCTGGGGTCTATATTTTTCCAGAGAAAGACAGATCTGAGCAATTTGCAATAACAGCAGCGGAGAGAATACATGTTAGTGTAAATTTGCTTGATCTGTATAATTTATTGGCATACAACAGAAGTTCGAATGAGATATACATATGGGATAGCCTTCACCTGCGGACGAAACACATTGCCACTGTCATTCAATTATTATTGTGCTCTTCTATTTGATGGTCAGAACTGCCAACTACCAAGAGATAAATGAGTCATTCGTTACAAAGATTGCTGTTTGTTTGTTAATCCTCCAATCATCTCTGAACTGCAATTGCGCTTTTGGATATAATTTTGGGAAACTTTTACTCTTCTATTTAGGATTTGTGATTCCGTGTACGCACGTTAATTACTTTTGAGAAATTTTAGCTAATACTTAATAAATTTTAATAAATAATAACGTATGCAGACGAAGGTGAGTATTTAGCATGTTTTTATGATGCATTTTGGTCGTACTAAAGAGATTTTTTCCTTTAATAGGGATTGATTAATTCAAAATTTAGCTGTGTCTATACAAAATTAAGTAGTAGATCAATTTAAACTTATACAGTAAAATCAATAACTAATTGTTACAGATACATCACTTATTTTAAATACCAGAAATTCAGCAAAATAAATTTTATCTTATCCGTTTGCACCTCCACATTTTTTCATTTTTTAGTTGTAATCATTTTTTGTTATTCTAAATTTTAACTTTATTATATATATATTTACCATCCCAAAAGATAAAAGACTTTATTTTGCTCATTACACTTTGTGAATGTTTCTTTTTCTTTTCTTTTTGCAGTGTACAAGGATTATATTGATCTCATATGTTTACTATGGTACTAGATACACTCTCATTTTCCATCTTTATGTCATCATAAATAAAAATGCAGAGGAACATATTTCTAATGTCATTAGTCACCTTAGTCTCATCTTCCATTATTATTATAAGTGAAAATATAGAGGAGCATATTTCTAATGTTAACAAACACCTACCACTCATCTCATCTTTCATCTTCCTCTGTCATCATGAGTAGAAATATAGAGGAGTATACTTAATGTCAACAACCACCAGTCTCACCTATTCTTGGTTCTAGTAACTATATCACCCATGGAGCAGATTTATGATTACTGTTCTTACGGCTAAAAAAACAAGTTAAATTCATGAATGATAGTGCTCCTCAACCACCAAAGTCAGATCCAACATATATAATATGACGTCAATCCAATAATATTTGGGACGAACTTGAAAATTTTATACTAGATCCAGTTTGTATCTGTCAATCCAAATGCACTGTTTCATCTATACTTGCTCAACGAAAACTTGAAGATCGAGCTATGTAGTTTTTACAAGATTAAATAAACAACACAGTAATATTCATTCACAATTTTTTTCATGGATCCTTTACTATCTTTCTCTAAAATTTTCTCCTATGTGTCTTACCAAGAGAAACAACTTTCAAGGAATAACTTTTTCATCAATGTAGGATATGACACCAAAGAAATAGTGGTCAATGTTATTGTTGTCTTTATTCACTGTACTCATTGTGGACATATGAGTCATACTGCAAGTGTGTTATAGAAAACATGGGTTTCCTTAAAAAGGTGATAATAAAACTGGTAAATGATTTATTTGTTAATCTCAATACTAAGTTTTATTCTCATTGTGGACGTACAGGACACACAGCTAACGTGTGCTACAGGAAACATAATTTTCCTCTAGGACACAAATTCTACAATGGTGATAAAACCGCTCTCTGGTGAAAATAAAGTCATTACAAATAACAAACAAAATCATGAGAACCAAGAATTTCGCTTCTCTCCTCAGTAGTATCAAACACTACTAACTTCAATTTAGCAATCTCAATCTAGATCTTCAGTTCCCAATACATCTCACATAAACCAAATTGATACTATTTCTTCCTCTAGTCAATAAGGTAAATTTAAGTCTATAATCCCTTGGATCTTAGATTTGAGAGCTATAAATCATGTATCTTCTTGACTTATAATTTTCACTCTTACCTTAAAACTGATCCTATAGTTATTAAGTTGTCTATTGGTCAACATAGTACAACTACTCATTCTAGAGTTATTCATTTCTCTAATTGTTGTTATTTAGTTGATGTTCTCTATAATTCCAATTTTACTTTTAATATAATTTCTATTTCTAAACTTGTGAATTCCCTTAATTATATTTTGACTTTTTCATCTAATTTTGTATCATACAGGATGCGACTATTAGGAAGCAAATTAGACTCTACAAACTTGTTCTCAAACCTATTATTTCCTCATCTATTTTATCCAACATTGTTCCTTTTGAACTGTTGCATATGAATATCTGAGGACCATGTTCGAAATTATCTATGTATGGACACAAATATTTTTTAACAATTGTGGATGATCAACACATTTTACATGGGTCTTTAATATTTTTTAAAAATAAAACACGAACACCTATCATCAATTTTATCACTCATGTAAAAAATCAATTTAAGACTCATGTTAAACACATTCGCAATGATGTTAAATTTGTTATGCATCAATATTTTCTATCTAAAGACAGCATCCATCAAATCACATGCATAGAAACACCTAAACAAAATGAATTGTTGAACAAAAACACCAATAATTTTTAACTATTACAGGACCTTACTTTTTTAATCAAAATTACCATCAGCTTTTTGGTATTTTGCTTTACTTCACGCAACCTATTTAATTAATTGCATTTCAACCCCTTTCTTGCATAACATATCCTTTATGAAAAGCTTTATCCTTCCTTTTTTTTTTTTGCTTCAAACACCACATCAAATGATATATTCTCTATGATCTTCACACTCATAATGTTGAAACATCCCGACATATTTTTTATAAGATTATTTTTCGTACTTTTCTAATTCTCCATTCACATTATCATTATGTTTATCAAATAGTTCATTTTTTTGTTAGAAAATACAAGTCCTATATTGAGTAAGAATAAAAAAGTTGAGTAACAAATAAAAAAAAATAACTCATAATCTAATAACTTAAAATTTTGGAAATTTTGAGTTGAGAATGATGTGATTCTGCCTTATGTGGATTAACGTGTTTCTCTTATGTGAAGACTCGAACAAGAACTTAATTTGTTCTATCACCATGAAGCAAGCTAATGTTGGGATATGTTTGAGTAGTTTGGGTAACGACACCGTCCTACCTTGGCGCACTATGGGCCATCTCGGTGCTCGTGGGCGGGTAAGTCCAACATCCATGATACAAGGATTCACAATTCTCTTAAAGTTTTGTTCGTTTCCATTTATTTACTGTTAATGTAGAAATGAGAGTACTGTTTTGTAAGAATTAATTATGTTTGGTTTTGTTATTTTAGACTAATGTGCATAGAAATAAAAGGGGAGTCCACTTGAGGAAAATCATCCTCTCTTTTGGAAAGAAAAGGCTCGAAAGTCAATAATAAAATCATTTTTGCTCTCCCATAATTGATTATATATATTTGCATAATTGATTATGCTGATCATATAATAGATTATATCAAACAACATAGTTATTATATATAGTCATATAATCTATTATGAGTCTAATTTTTTACATGAATATTTTAAAAAAATTTACATAAATATTTTTTTTACATGTATTATCAAAACAAATATTTATATTAAGTTTATTTTGATAAATTTTTATAAAAATAAATGAATTCTTTTTAGTTAAAATTAGTTTATCCTTAAAACAATTATAAAAATTATTTCATATAACATTTTTATTTCTTATAAAAATTAAACCTATTATATACAATTTAATAAATATAAGTAAAATTTACATAAATATTTAATCATTTATTGTCTCAAGAAAACATTTTTTATAAATAACATGATTTAATAAAAATAATATATTTAATAATTCATATCTTATTTTAACAATGATTCATTAATAACATTTTTTTAATTAAACTATATTTTTAGTTTATTATAAAAAACAAATAAAAAATATAATATAGTTTTTTCTTAATCATCATCATAATAAAATGTTAATTAATATAGTTTTTTAAAATAATTTAATTTTAATATATATTTATATACTATTAAAAACATATAGTATATATAATAATATATAAAAATAATTTATATGAAATAAATTTTATTTGTTTTAAAAGATAATAATAGAAGAACAATTAGCTTATTTATTATATTAATATTTTTATAAAAAATAAATATTTATTTATTTATTTTATATTAATTTATATCTATCTCAATTTAATTTACATTTTTTAATAATTATAATTTTATTAATTATTTTTGTATTTTTTATTCAAGTTTCATTTTGGATTATTTTATTGACACTATACATTAAATATTGACATTGTATTTATTTCAATGTTATCTAAACATTCTATTTTATGTGAATAAATTTCTTTTACCAATTAAAAAAAACTTATAAGTTATTATTAAAATAATAAATAAAAAACATTTTAAAAATATCAAAAATTATTTTTATACTTTATATAAAATAATTTTATTATATCTCAAAAATTTTATATATAATATAAATTAATTAGTTTATGTTAAATTATATCATATTTTAATTTATATTTATTTTATCGATTATTACATATTTTATATTATTATTTTAATTTTTTTATTTAATTACATTTGTTTAAATCTTTTCACTCCTTTTTCTTTATTTTTTATTTTTTATTTTTTAATTCAAACGACTTCATTCCCCAAAAAGACATGTTCAACTAGAATAAAATTTTGGTCAATATACTACATATATAAGTTATCTACCAACTATATTTAATGTTTTAATCCTTTTCATGAGTTAGATTAGAGGTTTATAAATAAAATATGCATATATTCTTTTTTATTTTAGTTCATGAAATATGTGCTTATATTTCCCTTCCCATTTCTCATTTTTATGAGCATTTTAAGTTGAGTTATATTATTTATATAAATATTTTTTTTTCTATCGCAAATTATCTTGAAGATTATAACGTATATTAATAAAGCATATATGTAAAAATATTAAAATACTTTAAGACATGTACAACTCGCACTTTATTTTTGTCTGGTTGAAGAAAATTACTAAAATTACGTATAAAGTGTTCTGTTCTAAGGTTGTGTTTCCCGTTATGCACTGCCAAAACGGCTATTGTTCATAATAAGGTGATTTTCACACTCTGAGGTGTGCCACACGTGTCTCTCGATCCCTCTGTTGTTCAGTTATATAGTACGTCTCCCTCGGTAACTTCACCGATCATCGTCATCGATTGTAATTCATGAAATGTATGATTTATCGTTATACGTTGTTTTTCAAATATATTCTTGAAATTCCTCCCACAGTGTATACTTTGGTTGTGAATCGCCCTATTTGACCACTTCTGAAGAAGCTAAATGATGATTTTATTTTCACCTATTTGTCATCTCTGTGATTAAGAGGTTACACGTTTTTGTGACACAGAAAACTAAGGTATCTGAACTATACAGACATAATTAGGAGTTCAAGCATTATAACCGATTGCAACAGCTTTTACATTTCATTGAAACGTAAAGTGATTGAAAAATTGAAATTGACACGATCAGGTTCTGTTTCCTTAAGCAGTTGCATTTCTTTTAAACTTTGCTGACGGAATTCTTAACTAGATCCCTTCTGTTATCTGCAAACTAGTAAAAAGAAAAACAGGGTTCACCATGTCCGGCCCAGGGGTGCGGTTGCACATTCAAGATCACCATGTAAGTTTGATCGCATGTACATTTTTTCTCCCTATTCCTCTGTTATGCTTCTATTTCAAAACCTCGAAAAGACTTGTTATATTTGATTTTGTGCAACGTACCTAGACATCATCATCATCTAAGTTAAATTACTGTAGGTTTCTTTTCCTTGTAGCATAAGTGAGAGTAGGATGTGCATTAATGAAGCTTTGACAGCGTTATGTATAATCACAGTGTCAGTTAAACTTTAGTTTCTTGCTATTGTTTTAACTTCTTGGCATGTGCAGGTGGTGATGGATAATGGCATAGCCCAGGTTACGTTATCAAATCCAGGTGGGATTGTCACTGGGATACGATATAATGGTGTTGACAATTTGCTCGAAGTTCTCAACAAGGAGACTAATAGAGGGTATGCGCCCCTAGCAATGAATAATTCTTATCTCTCTCTTCCTCACATCCTCTCCACACACACAATAAACAATAGACACGGTGAAATGGTGACAGATTTGGCTTGTGGAGAACAATGTGTTCTACATGTTATCATTAGAAAGAAAAATATACTTATTACTAATTGTGGGGAAATCATAGGAAGCTCTCACTTTTTGAAGCCGTAACCTGATTTTGTCTTTCAATTGAATGTTTAGGTACTGGGACCTTGTTTGGAGTGCACCAGGAAGCAAGGGGATTTTTGATGTGTATGACAATTCTACTTTCTTTTGAAACTTCATGATGTCTTTGGTATTATTCCGACAATTTTAAAGTCTCAATAAAGATATATTCAAATGCATTCACTGAAAAGAGTTTGACATTAAATTGGGAGTGGTTTTAAGTCACACCTGATCAGAAATAAACTGGTTGTCAACGAGTTTGCAATTAAACTAGGAGTGGTTTTTATGTCACACATGAGCAGAAATAGAACAGTTGTCGAACCCCTCTATTTTGGTTAAATGTTCTACATGCTTTCTTATAAGTTCCATTATTGTTCAAAGGATAATATTTGAAGCACAAGCAAACTCAAGATGTTATGCTTCAGGATACAAGGAACGTGTTTTAAAGTTATAGTTCAAAATGAGGAACAGGTGGAGCTTTCATTCACCAGAATGTGGGATCCTACTCTAGAGGGAAAATTTGTCCCCTTAAATATTGACAAAAGGTACTTGCTCTAATTTTGTGTATCAGTTAGCCTCTTTCACTGATGACTGTAGTATTAAAATTTGTGGATGGTCAATTTCAGATTTATAATGCTCCGTGGTTCATCTGGCTTCTACTCTTATGGAATTTATGAGCACTTAAATGGATGGCCAGATTTTGATCTCAGTGAAACGAGGATTACTTTCAAGCTAAGAAAAGACAAGTAAATTCTATCATTTTGACAAAAAATGTTTGATGCCTCTATGTTTCTCATTCTTTTGTACGTGCTTATTCTATTTGTTTATTTAACAAGAATTAGTAAAACATTTTTGTTGAAAATGGTAATTACTAAATAAGTTTATAGGATTTACATATAATTTTGTGATCCCAAATATCAGTTTCTTTCACAAATGTAGCCATATCAGTTGAGATGGTCTTGGTAGATAAACAGCAACTCTTATTTATTTTTGGATTTTCATCCACTTTAACAATCAAGTTTGTAGGTTTCAATACATGGCTATGGCAGACAATAGACGAAGGATTCTTCCTTATCCGGAAGATCGGTTACCTGGAAGATGTCAAACCTTGGGCTATGCAGAAGCTGTCCTACTAAACAATCCGAAAGACCCACGATTACAAGGAGAGGTATCTGTTGCAAATGTTTCCTGACATTGTTTTTACCATAGTAGTTTATCACTTCTTCAGATAGCTTGAATGTTAGTTCCGCACTGAATTACTTGTGTCATTAAAAATTATTTTATATTATGGTTAAATTTAATTTCCCCCATGTGGTTTAAACTGTCTCTTTGCCCCTTCACACTTTCATTTACATAAGGCTACTTCTCTCTCTTTTGCCTGTCAACTATGATAAACTTATTCTTGCTATAATCTATTAAACGAGCAGGTGTACATATAAGACATGTCTGTTCCTAAGTTTGACAAGGAGAACATTGTTTCTAGGAGAATAAAGAAATATTCAACTTTTTTTTTTTTTTTTGTAACTGAGATCAGTTAAAGTTTTAATTTTGTAATTTAACAGCATGAAACAACATTGCAAAATGCAAAATGCAACTGAAACTAATCATGGGGAGGAAGGGGAAGGAGCTAAATTACACCCTTTAAAATAATTTTGTATATCATTTTAGTGATTTGATGCCATAAAGCAATCTTGTCTCCCCTATCCAGAACAATATATATACATTCTTATAAAATTACTTTTGTTATAACATTTCCATATTCCAAAGTACATTCTTTCAACCGATCTAAACTACTTTGTATCTGAAAAATTTAATCAAAGTTCAAACACACAAATAGTAGTTGTTTAACCTGGCAAGTTGGGAGCCCACTAACTCATGTGGCTTATTAAAGAGGGGGTAGGATGATTTCCTGTGTATGAATTCTTCCACCTGGTTTTTATCTGAATCTAATTCACAGGTGGATGACAAGTATCAGTATTCATGTGCAAACATCGATAATCAGGTCCATGGGTGGATATCTTTCAGTCCACCAGTAGGATTCTGGCAGATCACACCTAGTGATGAGTTTCGTTCTGGTGGACCGCTCAAACAGAATTTGACATCACACGTAGGCCCCACCACACTTGCAGTAAGTGAATGAGTTTAGATTTTAGACCAAAATAAGAATTTCCTACAGGGCTATTATACTCTGTTAACCCTTGTTGACATGTTTATTAAATTGGCATCACCAGATGTTTCTTAGTAGTCACTATGCGGGACAAGATTTGGTGCCTAAAATTAGAGGTGGTGAATCATGGAAGAAGGTTTTTGGTCCTGTTTATATTTATCTCAATTCTGCAGCAGTCGGTGACGATCCACTTTGGCTGTGGGAGGATGCAAAAATACAGGTTCGCCCATGTTTCTCTCGTGCTTTTTGTTAGGAGGTAGATGGTATAGACAGTTGGATGTAGTAATTGTGAGATAAAGACTAATTTTGATTGATATTCAGACGATGAATGAAGTTCAAAGTTGGCCATATTATTTCCCAGCATCGGAGGATTTTCTAAAATCAGATCAACGGGGCAATGTCAGTGGCAGATTACTTGTCTTAGACAAGTAAGCATGCAAGATATTCCTAGTTTATTCTTGAGGTTTATACATTGTATTTTGTGATTCGTATCTTACTGTGCTTGGAGTACAGGCAAAGTTTCCTAGTTCTATTCCAAATTTTTTTTTCCTAATTAGAATGCATTTTGTGATTTTATTTTTTGCCAGTAGAAGGGGAGGGGGTTACATAAAAGCCACAAATTATTTTATCTGTAATATGAAAAAAGGAGGTTTGTTACTTTATTTTATGGTGAGAAAGTTAAAACAAAAATAATTAGTTGAATAATTCATCAACTGCCGAGCAAATGGTGAATTTTAGTAAACTATTCTAATTGTAGGTACGTCTGCACAGACTTAATATCAGCAAATGGTGCTTATGTTGGCCTGGCCCCACCTGGAGATGCAGGGTCATGGCAAAGAGAATGCAAGGTGCTCTCCCCAAACTTGTGGATAACTTGCATTTTTGTTGCACATGAGCTGTACTTTTGTAGTTTGTCCTCAACTCAACAACTATCAGTTTTTTCATAATTTTTATTACCTTTGTTATGATGATGATGTGATTGTGATCGAAGGTATTTGCTGACTACTACGTGACACATAACCTTGTTTTCCTTTTATTTTGAAAAACATAAATTATGAAAATCAATATAATTACAACTTACAAGAATGCTATTGTGGGTGCCCAAAAGAACTCCTTACCAGAAGATGACTTTAACTTTTACTCGTAACAGGACTATCAATTCTGGACCAGAGCAGATGAGAATGGATTTTTTACTATTAGAAATGTACGTCCAGGCGACTATAACCTTTTTGCTTGGGTGCCTGGCTTTGTTGGGGACTACAAATTTGTAGATTTAATGAAGATAACACCAGGTTCCTTAGCTTCGTCAAAGCTGAGTTTGTTCTTGCAAAATATAGTTGAGTTCGGTGCTTAATAACTTGGGATGCAGGTTGTTACAATGAATTGGGTGAACTTGTATATGAGCCTCCAAGGGATGGTCCCACATTGTGGGAAATAGGTATTCCTGATAGATCCGCCGCAGAATTTTATGCTCCAGATCCCAATCCAAAATATATTAATAGGCTTTTTATCAACCACCCAGACAGGTTAGCCCTGTTATGTACTATTGGGGGCATACTACTCTGATCATTCTCAACTGAATGTCAGCTTTTCTTTTTGTTTTTCCTTTGAATGCTTAAATGGATTTTGCTTTATTGTGAAACTGTGCTATTGTAATATGAAATGATGAAAATGCTAAAATCTTTACCCAACTGTGCATTTTATCCTTGTACGTGTGATGAAAATATTTCCTTGAGATGTCAGTTGATCTGTTCTCAGATTTTCCTTTTATTTGCTCCACTTGTAGGTTCAGGCAGTATGGATTGTGGGAGAGGTATACCGAATTGTATCCTGATGCAGATTTGGTTTACACGATTGGTGTTAGTGACTATTCGAAAGATTGGTTTTATACGCAGGCTCCGAGGTCTGATTTATGGATTATTGTTTATTTGAATAATATAGCTATAGATTATCATGCATTCCTTCTTCGTCTATTATAGTTGTATTTCTTTTGAGTTATATGTTACATTCTATGCACTATTTTTTCAAGCTTGTGTAACTGCAGGAAAAAAGAGGATAACACTCTCCAAGGGACAACTTGGCAAATCAAGTTCGAAGTCAGAAGCGTGGTTCATGGAAGTAAATACAAACTGAGAGTTGCAATTGCATCTGCAACATTAGCTGAATTGCAGGTAAACTCCCTTGCCTTGTTTTTTTCTCACATACACTCTCTCTGTGGTTGTGATATGTAAGTACTTCTAAAAATTTTGTGCTGATAAAGAATTGTCTGTGAAGATTCGAGTAAATAATCCCGATGCTCGACGACCCCTATTTACCAGTGGATTAATCGGAAGGGACAACTCAATAGCAAGACACGGAATTCACGGAATCTATTGGCTTTACCATGTGGATATACCAGGTTCTCTCCTTATTGATGGCACAAATACCATATATTTTACGCAACCAAGATGCACCAGTCCCTTCCAAGGTATCATGTATGATTATATTCGTATGGAAGGTCCACCTTGTGAGGGAGTTTAAGTTAACCTTGGGACGTGAATGATACAAAATATTTAGTGTATTTTCATTGTATCACAATATATTTGTGAATTGTTACGTACATCTTATATTTTTTTTTCTGTAATTTTGTTGTTGTGTATGTATTTGGATTTGGATTTTGTTTGATATTAACGAGCATTCTGAAAATACCTACACTCGATAAATTCATACTTGTTTTTGTCAACTAAATCATCTACCTTTCAACTGGCAAATGGAACATAGGTTTTGAAAAACAGTTTTAAATGATGTGTGAGTTCACACCCCGGAATCTGAACCTCGGCAGCAAAAAAAATACAGTAAGCTATAAAATAAAACCGATATAAAATATCAAAGTCTAATGACATTTTAAATTTTGCTGTACGACAATGACACTGTAAATGCTATAGATGTTCGAGGACCTAATGGGGCGTGTATGGCTCATATTCGGTGAGTGGTAAGGCTCATAAGCCGTAATAGGCCCAACAAAAGCCGGTCGGGAAGCTTGGTGGTGAGTATTTAAGCCGACTGTTTATATTTAACAGTTACCCTATCTGAACACATATCTAAGCAAAATTAATTCATTTTACACCTATTAAAAATAATAGTTAGATTCATTTAATGTTATTGATTTCATACTAGATAAGAATATATTTTCTAAATTATTCTGTCATATTCATTGGAGAAAGTTCTTAGAATCATAAATATAATGATGGTATTTTTTCAAATAACATTATAGACTACAGCTGTTACAATCTAGTACTGAATTTGGATGACTGGAAAGTACCAGGAGATTGGTCAGATTGTGGAAGCTTAAATGTGTCTCAAAAAAATTAAGCTGTTTTATGAGGAGAGCTTGCCAAATTAATGTGCTACCTACAAGTGTACAGTTTCAGAAAAAAGGTGTATCATGTCCTAGGATGCCAACACACATCCACTGCATGGGTAGATGCAGGTCTATGTCCGGTTAACCAATCTGTTTTGATGCAGTCTGAAAGTTTTGTCGAAGCCATATTCACTTAACTGTGGTCCCACAGAAAAGTGTTGGCTAATATTGTAATTCTGCTATTTTTCGGGCTACAGGGACTGCCTTGCGGGAGCGGCTTCGACCACAACATCAAGGTCAGGCAAGGGAACAAGTTTCTCTCAACAGGAGCAAAATCAGATGGCGACCGCCACCAACGGATACATTTAAATGCAATGTGCCGGAGGAATCACCGTTGTCGTTTTGTTCAAGCTTTTGTTGATTATAAATTATTTTTTCCACAAGTACATCAAAGAGAGATATTGGCTTTGTTAGCAGCACTCAAGTGGCCAAAAAATATTGAATTACACTGCCAGAGTTGTGTATGGATTGTCCAAGGATACAGTAGATGCACCTGAATATGCTGTTTTATTAGCAGAGTGAAGAAATTCACTGACTAGTGTCCCAAACGAGAGTTTGTAAGAAGACAAGCAAATATACTTATTAGCTAGGTCATCTAATTCTTTTGTTAGTCCTTACATTTTTATAAGTTAGTCTTCACATTGTATTAACTCTTGTGAATAAAATAATTACTAGTTGTATTAATTTGACTTTATGGGTGGTTGGTTATATAGAAGCTAGTATACTTTCTCAATCCAACTTCCAACCCAAAACATTGAAATCTTAAATGCAAGATTCAGCTTCGGTAATATCGATAGATAGACACCAAATAGTAAAACAAATCTGAAAAACATTTGATACTATGATTTATAATATATTATTTTATTATTTCATATTTAATAAAAGGAAAATTAAAAAAAATAATGGGAATATCTTTATTTTAAAAGGTGTCTGTTTTTCTTTTTCTTTTTCTTTTTTAATATCTACATGTCAAATCACATGTAATAAAGACTAATAACTTGGTGAATAAAAAACAAATTTGAGTAAAGTTTGATTTGTTTTACGTTCATAAGTCATTATTGGTTTTTATATCATAAATGTTGGTATAAAACTGTACCTAAAATAACTTATAATTAAGCATTGGACTATTTTAGATCTCTACGCTTTAGTCAATATTAATTTTTGTTCCTTCATCTTTTTTTCACAGCATTTTGTTCCTACATCTTAAACACAATGTTTCAGACCTCATTTTCTATATGTAAGTAGATTTCACCTTGATCTTATATTTCATTTTGACTTGACTAACCACGTTCATAATATTTAAGAAAATAGCATAACTAAAACCAGTTTGTAAAGTGTAGAAATAAATTAAAATCAATTTTGACAAAACTTGAGAGAAGTAAACCATATTTTATCCTTTAGCTTGTATTTGAATAAAATAAATGCAATAAAAAAAAAAAGAGAAATGTTTGTCATAAATTACTTTCATACTCGGTCACAATTAAAATAAAATATAAATCGATGTAAAATTTCTTAAGTTTTTCAACTTCAAAACTAGCCACTCATGTTGTTTATATATATATTTATATAAAACTTTGACAAAACTGCTTGGTAAAGGGATGATGCGGTTCAAAACAACATCCTATCACCTAATAAGAATAAGAAATGAAGGAAACCAAAACAATGAATTAATTATCCTTCTATATGGTGATTGACTGTTTCTTCACTCGCACGCCATTATCCAATACACCCTATACACTAAACTGTGGCGACCAAGTAAAGAGATAAAAAAGAATGCTTTCTCTCTGGGTCAAGGAAGCTAGCTAATCCAATTCATTTAAGCCCTCACACTATCCATTTTCTGTTGGCACATTGCTGAGTAGTATAACATAAGCACACTGTTTTTCTTCAAACTCTGCTTAAAATCAGCCATTGGTACAATATATATAAAGGGCACTCTTTCTCTGCATTAGGAGATAAATATTCTCAACCATTCTCTCAAAATACTGAGTCTGTGAGATTTGATTGCTCACTTGTTTACTGCAAATACCACCATGCCGTTACTGGGGGTGCAGCTTACTATTCAAGATAATCATGTATTTCAAATTTTGTCCTTATGTTTTTCCTTATTCCATCCTAATAAATTTTCCTAGTAGTCTGAAGTAGATGTTTATATTAAGTTCTTTTGGATACGAGTCTTGCTATGCTTTCATAAATTAGCATGTGTTTTGATTCGTTCATATTTCTAAGAGTGTGTTTGGTGCAAAATGCATGTAGTATTGTCATGTTTGTTTAGAGTTTTAGACAAAATATTCCAGAATATCCATTAATAATTACAAAAATTCATTTTTTTCTGCAGTAGCGGCTGGGAAAGTTATTTTTTAATCTACTTGCTACAACTTCTATATTCTTAATAATTATATTTTTAAGAATCTGATTCCTAAAAGTAATGAAAATCCATGTGCAGGTGGTGGTGGAAAATGGCATACTAAAAGTCACCTTATCAAATCCTGGGGGAATTGTGACTGGAATACAGTACAATGACATCGACAACTTGCTTGAAGTTTTGAATGAAGAATCTAATAGAGGGTATATATATTCTATTTACAAAGTCGTTTTCAATTTTACAAATTGAGGAACTTCGTTTGGTGTTCCCAGAAATACAAAAAATATGTTTTCAACTTCATGTAGGTATTGGGACCTTGTTTGGAGCTCACCGACAAGTACAGGAACCAGTGGTACATTCGATGTGTATGTCTCTCTTCTAATCTTTCTTTATCTACTATTTGCATGACAATTTGAGCTTAACGTTTCTTTAATTTTCTTCTTTCTACTATACCCGTGTTTGATCAAGAAATTAAAGTCACATATTGTGATACGTGACTGCAGCATCAAAGGAACATCATTCCAAGTTATGGTTGAAAATGAGGACCAAGTTGAGTTATCCTTCACCAGGACATGGGACGTCTCTCTTGAGGGCAAGTTGGTTCCTTTAAATATCGACAAAAGGTCATTAGTTAATAAGTGACACAAACCACTGTCCATTACATTGTTAATATATAATCTAACTACTGTAAATTTAACTATAAATTAATGTGTGGTTCTAGGTTCATAATGCTTCGTGGTTGTTCGGGGTTCTACTCCTATGCAATTTATGAGCACTTAGAGGAGTGGCCTGCTTTCAATCTTGACGAAACAAGAATTGCTTTCAAGCTTAGAAAAGACAAGTAGAAGCTTAACATTTTAACTTTTTTGAATGTTTTGTCCTTTTCATGCTTCTAGTTATAGCATTGTTGTTCTTAGTCGCAAAGAATATATGGGTGGTGGACAGGTTCCATTATATGGCGATGGCTGATAATAGACAAAGAGACATGCCTCTTCCAGATGACCGATTGCCACCTAAGGGCAAAGCCCTTGCCTACCCAGAAGCAGTTCAACTTGTCAATCCCATCGAACCAGAAATTAAGGGAGAGGTAACTATTTTCAACCATACGCTATAAATATCATCAAATGAAAAGTGCAAAGGTGATATATTTTATGTGTTTTTAATGGTGTGCATGTCTAGCTTGCTCAAAGTTTGAAAATTTGAAGCTGAAAATTGATGAAGTTAGTTGAAATTAAAATTGTTTGGTAAAGCTAAGTATAAAACTAACCCACTAGCAGAAAATGAGATAGAAGTAATTAATATTATTCTTCTGAATGTACGTAATTATTTTGGTGGAACTTATTTGTAGGTGGATGACAAGTACCAATATTCATGCGACAACAAAGACAACAAAGTTCATGGATGGATCTGCATGGATCCTGCAGTAGGATTCTGGCTAATTACGCCGAGCGATGAGTTTCGATCTGGTGGGCCTCTCAAACAAAACTTAACTTCCCATGTGGGCCCCACCACGCTTGCCGTAAGTACTTCCACCAAAAATAAAACATATTCTGCAATGATTCACAACACCATGTGATAATTACTTGTGTCTCAAATATACGATTGTTGTGATTTGAGGTCTCAATTCATTAACTTCGCTAAAACATAACGCAATCAGGTGTTTCTGAGTGCTCATTATAGTGGAGAGGATTTGGTGCCTAAGTTCAATGCTGGTGAGGCATGGAAGAAAGTTTTTGGTCCTGTTTTCATTTATTTGAATTCTTCCTATGATGGAGGTGACCCCCTTAAGCTATGGGAAGATGCTAAACTACAGGTTTAATATTTACTTTATCTATCAAATATTAAACCATATATATTATATATATAGCTTGATTATATGGCATACATGCCTGAGCAAACTTACAGATGTTGGTGGAAGCTCAAAGCTGGCCTTACAGTTTCCCTGAATCAGAAGATTTTCCCAAGTGGGACGAACGTGGTAATGTTAGTGGCAGGCTTTTGGTTAGAGAGAGGTGTGTTCTTATAAATTTAAGATTAATTACAGTCCCTCTCTGGTAATTTTTTAGTATCTAAATATTGAAAATTAATTAAGAAGAGAATCACCTAAAACCATGGCAGTGAAATTGAATGAGATAAGTGAAAGTGCAAAATGCAGTAAGATTTCTTGTGTGTTGTAGCAGTTCTATGCTCATTGAAATCACATGTAATTTGTGTTAATTTAATTAACTCCATTTTGCCATTTATAGGTATATAAACGATGATTATATCTCAGCAAAAGGTGCCTATGTTGGCTTGGCTCCACCAGGGGATGTAGGGTCTTGGCAAAGAGAATGCAAGGTGACTTGAAAAAATATATGTTCACTAAAACGAGTGTGCATATTCTTCTTAGTATGCTTATTTTTAATATAATAGATGTACCTAAGTTTTGTCATACACCAATATTTTATGAACTATTATGCCTATAGAAAGACCATTAGCTAATGGACACAATACATTATAATTGTTATCAGAATTATCAGTTTTGGGCTAAAGCAGACGATGATGGCTACTTCAGCATCACCAATATACGTGCAGGAGACTACAATGTTTATGCTTGGGTACCTGGTTTTATTGGTGACTATAAATATGACGTAGTTATGAACATAACAGAAGGTATTAGCAACAAACTTTATTGTTTATCTTTTTAAACTACTGAGGTTTTATCTCGACTATTTTGTCAAAATAGGTTGTGATATCGACCTTGGTGATCTTGTGTGTGAACCTCCTAGAGATGGTCCAACATTGTGGGAAATTGGCATTCCTGATCGAACAGCTGCTGAGTTCTATGTTCCCGACCCAAATCCCAAATATATCAACAAACTCTATGTTAATCACCCTGACAAGTTAGTCACCCTTGTGCTCATGCATACATTTCAACTTAAATTTCCAGCATGAACAAAAGTTCATTCTAGGACTGTTTTGAAAATTTAGAGTAATTACAGTGCAGGATTTCTTTATCATTGTATATGTTGTCTTCCAATTCAAAAGCCAGAATTGATTCCATTAAACCTGATTAATTTCAATGCCCATGTAAAAGCTGGTAAATTAACCAAGACTGTCTGTAATTGGCAGGTTCAGGCAATATGGGTTATGGGAGAGATATGCAGAACTCTACCCTGACAAAGACTTGATCTACACAATTGGTGTTAGTGACTACACCAAAGATTGGTTCTTTGCTCAAGTTACCAGGTACAAAATAATGGGTTTTGCTTAACAAAATTACTATTAACGAATCATTGTTAGCTTTTACATTTTGCTCCCATTTTCAGAAAGAAAGATGACAACACATTTCAAGGAACCACATGGCAAATCAAGTTTCAGCTTGATAAAGTGAACAAAACCAGCAGCTATAAACTGAGGGTGGCTTTGGCATCGGCAACATTATCCGAACTTCAGGTTCATTCCTTAATTTCTTTAGAAGTTTAAATATCTTAACCAATATTAATTAATATCTACTACAATTTTAGGTTCGAGTTAATAATCCAAAGGGTCCTCGTCCTCTATTTTCAAGTGGGTTGATAGGTAGGGATAACTCGATCGCAAGGCATGGAATTCATGGACTTTATTGGCTTTACAGTGTAGACATACCCGGAACTCAATTTGTTGAAGGAGAAAATACCATATTTTTGTCACAAACCAGAGGCAATGGTCCATTTCAGGCAATTATGTATGATTATATTCGTTTGGAAGCTCCACCATCATCTACCTTCAATAAGACAAGTTGATCAATTTTCTATTTTGCTCACAATATTTAGTCAAACCCAACGAATAAATATTGGGAATAAGAGTGGAGCTTCTGAAATAATGAAAATTTTCAGTTTCTTTGTAGCTTGTACTTGTTTGTAGTTTTTTAAGCAATGAAAATTGTACAAGATCTTCATTTTTAATTTGAATCATAAAGGAATATGAATAAAAAAAGGGGACTTTTAACATCTTTCCCTGAAATGGTTACTGCATCTTACACCTGGAGGAAATGGTGGAGTACTCTACTATATGTTATTTTAGATATATTTTAATCTTAACTGTTCGTATATGGTTATACTAAATGTAATATTTGTGTGCTGATAAGTTTATCTAAGTGTGAAAAATATAAAATTTAAACATGTTAAGAAATGTAGTTTTTCATATATATATATATATATATATATATATATATATATATATATATATATATATATATATATATATGAAAAAGAAAGATTATCACATACTACCATATTTTGAATGCACATTTCATATAATACTTGTTAATCAATATTTTATGCAGTTTAACAACCCATTTAAAAAATGAAATCAAAGAAGGATTTTTATTTTTCTAAGCCAATTGGACAAGGATGAGCACTAGAAGTTATAATCATGATCTGTTGATTCGTTAACATGTCTTATTATGAGACTTGGACGGATATGGATTGTTTACCAATAATCATACATTACAAGTTTCCAACTACTCACAATCATTTGCCATCTTTTTCCATTCCTCAAATCATTTTTTTTTTCTGCAGAGAATTACTCAAGAGGCACCATGATAAGTGCACCACCTTAAATTACCACCAAGGAACAAAAACAATTACCATATTTGTTTATGCTTTGCTGAATATAAAAGCACTACCTTTTCATCATAAACATGACTTCAACTCGTAGGAGAACTTAGTGGGAATGAATGTTTTGTTGTGGTTGAAGAAACAAAGTCAAACAAGATTCATTTTCTCACATCTATAGTTTCATGTTTACCTAACTCCTTAACTCACTCACTTCATTGCTTCAAAGTTGTTGATATTTATATGGAGAACCCTCTACCTTCTGCTTTTTGACTGTCACAGGTTTCTCTTGTCAACCAACTACGTTCCTATAAACCACCGTCCTCTTCACAGAGTCAAGCTAAATAAATTTTAGTTGTTCAAATGCAAATTACCTACTCATGGTTCTTACTTTTTAGGTTTGGTGGAGAATGGTGTTATGTTATGCATTTTATTCAAAAGTTCAATATGATTTTTTGCAGATTAAGATAACTTGTTTCTAAATGTTTATTGGTTAAAAACTGTAAACAATATTTCTCTTCATTATCAAACATTCATTTTGTTCCATGTCTTGTGAAGATTCACTTAAATTATCAACTTTTTATATTTATAGTTTCTAGAAATTTGTGATTTAATTAAAATTGTGTTTATTGTACTTTTTATCTAATTGGTAGTGTATCATATGCTTGTTTATTTGAAAAGTTATGAACCCATTCTCGAATAATTCTTATATAAATTAATAATAATCATATACTATATTTTGCAAAAAAATATTTTAATTATTAATGAAATACATCAATAATATTTTTTATTTATTTATAATTTTACACATATAATGGAATTCACAACGCAGCTAATCTCCTTTGACTTTCATGGCTAATAATTTTTTTCATTAATAAAAAAATTAACTAAATTGTCACATTTTCATCCAATCAGTGTATAATATATTATTTTGACGATCAAATTATTAATGTTATACTATATTTTGTAAAAGTCCACTTAAATTATAAATTAAAATGCATTAAGTGATAAGGATTTTCATTTGTGGTTTATAGAAATTTGTGTAGTAATAAAATAACATAACTAAATTGCACATTCAACTAGCACATATTCTTTAATATATTCTTTAACAAGTGATTATATATAAAATATGAGACTTGTACAATTTTATTACTTTTTATTTTGACTTAATTAATAACTATTTGTGCACAAGAGAACTTCCAATATATAGTAATAATTGATGATATAGAAAAAAATATATATACTATCAATATATTAAAATTAAATTCATAATAAAATGAAGTTTGACAAAAGTGATATAGTTTTAAATGTTTTGGTTTCAGGACAAATTATATAATTAATATTTTCCCTGACTATGCCTAAAATTAAGGTTCATATTCCAAAAAGGAGAATTTCCCTTTTATAACTTTTCTCTTAAGCCTGTTCATGTGCATATAAAGGAGTTATGCAGATCTCAAAGCCTAAGGAAAATATGATGATGGACTTCACTAATCATTTCCTGTTCTTTATGCTGCAAGTCTTCGTGGTTCTGGGTGGTGATACCAAACCAGGTTTCTCAGCTTCATCTCACCATTTTTCTCTTCAAGTTTTTAACTGAAGCAATTCTGGCACAACTATGTTTTTACCTTGTCCAACAAATAAAAAACACGAGTAGAAAACTGCACTGTTAATGAAAAAAGTAGCTATTTGCTAAGATATCTGAAAATTTTTCAAGGGACTAATTTATAGTGTGTCATTCCCAGGAGTACGATTGGATATTCAAGATAAACATGTATTCCACTTCTGCAATGGCTTCTTCTCTACCTAGCAATATACATTTTATTTATTTAACTATATGGCTTTTATGATGGCATTGCAGAGGGTCAAGCCATTGTTTATGCTAACTTTCTTTACCTGTTTATTTGTTCTTCACAGGTGATAATGGATAATGGCATAGTCCAGGTCAACTTATCAAATCCTGAAGGAATTGTCACGGGAATTCAATATAATGGCATAGACAATTTGCTCGAAGTTCTCAACGAAGAATACGACAGAGGGTACAACAATTTAATTTCAAATGTTATTTAAATATAAATTAATAACAGCAGAAAACTCTCTTCTAGGACAATTCTCAAACACCGAACACGCAAAGAATATTGTCCAATGAGGAGGATCAGCTAGCTATTTTGTTGCTTATGCAGCATCCCCAATCTGAAATCATAACCCTGACTTTGCTTTTTATATTTTTCTTATGCAGGTACTGGGATATTGTATGGGACGAAGGTGGAGAAAACAGAACCCAAAAAGGAGCAAAGGGAAAGGGTAGATTTGACAGGTATAAAATGTTTGAACATTTTTGTGTATTTTTCTAAAACGAGAAAGAAAATGTAGGAAAGAGAGAAAAAAAATATCATAAAAACATTTTACAAATAATATAAGTATTAGTTAATTCAGTAAATAAATACAGAATGGAAGCCACGAATTTAACGGTGATAGTGGAAAACGAGGAACAAGTAGAGCTATCGTTCACCAGAACATGGAATGCCTCTTTTCAGGGGAAGCTTCCGCCACTGAATATTGACAAAAGGTTCTTCTACTTTCAACCTACCTCTTTGCTTCTGAGAAAATTAAATTAACTAAATGACTACGATATGATAACGAGGAAGAGGATTCGGTGTAGGTTTATAATGCTTCGTGGTTCCTCTGGGTTCTACACCTATGCCATTTACGATCATTTGAAGGAATGGCCAGCTTTCGATCTCGACAATACTAGGATCGCATTCAAACCTAGAAAAGACAAGTGGGTAACTTTTGTTTTATTTTGCGGTTCCTCAGAAAAACAATCTCGGTGGTAATATTATTATTGGACAGGTTCCATTACATGGCAATAGCGGACAACAGGCAAAGATTTATGCCTCTGCCTGATGACCGGTTGCCCCCAAGAGGTCAAGTTCTTGCCTACCCTGAAGCTGTTCGTCTTGTTGAGCCCGTCGAGCCTGAATTCAAAGGAGAGGTATGCTTTTGGTTCATCTATCACCAAATTTACAACATAGTCAACGTTAGGTCATTTAGGTATATCTAATTTCCTTTTCAGTGACTAAAAGTATATGATTTTGGAATTTATTTTCTTCTTGTATTGAAACCAGGTTGATGATAAATATGAGTATTCGTGCGAGAGTCGATACAATCGTGTTCACGGTTGGATGAACATTGATCCACTGAATTCCACTGGATTCTGGCTTATTACGCCAAGCTATGAGTTCCGATCTGCTGGACCCCTCAAGCAATATCTTACTTCTCACGTTGGCCCCACCACACTCTCTGTAAGAGTTTCTCATCTTCTTGTTCGATGATTCAGAACAAATTTCAATTGTGTTTAATGCTGTAAAAACAACGGGAAACTGCATGAATCAGGTATTTCATAGCACGCATTATTCAGGGGTGGATCTGATCATGAAATTTGGGCCCAATGAGCCCTGGAAGAAAGTCTATGGGCCCATATTCATATACCTTAATTCTCTATCTAACGGGTTTAGCCCAATCAAGCTCTGGGAGGACGCCAAACAACAGGTATGCCACTACTAATTTTAACTGATTAAATATTAAGGGTAATAATTGGTTAGTTATGTATTTTTTAAATTCCTTTTTTTTTTATCAATGTTAAGTGTAGCCACTTTTAGAATTTTAGTTTAAAACAGAAAAATAAAACTGCAGATGGTGAATGAAGTTGAGAGCTGGCCCTATACATTTCCTGCTTCCAAGGACTTTCTCTCATCTGAGGAACGAGGTAAAGTCCAAGGTAGATTGCTTGTCCGAGACAGGTAGGTGTTACTTCCTTAACTTTCGTCTTGAGAAATTATCACAGTGATTCTAAAGTACTCAAAGTGATTAAAAAAAACGTATAAAATATTTTTCTAGTATTTTTGTCTTATCACTCACAATCTTAAATATATCAAATCATAATTGAAATGCTTATGCAGAACTACGAGTTAGTCCTGCAGAATATTATGTCATAGACACATTATTCATTTTAGATAAAAAATAAAAAAATTTAATTTTAACTATGTGTTAAGGTTAAGAGTAGGAAGAATGAGCAAGTGCAACTCTAGATATTTGGATGTATTTATTTCTTCTTCAACTTCACTTTTATTCCACCATGGTATATTTATTCAATTGCTAAATCTGTGTAGATACGTCAGTGATGCATTCATCCCAGTTAGTGGTGCTTATGTGGGACTAGCAGCTATAGGGGATGTTGGTTCTTGGCAACGAGAATGTAAGGTATAACATTTAAACTACTTCCTCTTACCATTTAAATAAAGAACAGCAACATTGAGCCACTAGAGGAAAAAAAATTGAAACTTTATATTATTTCCTAACAGGGTTATCAATTTTGGACCATTACTGATGATAAAGGCTATTTCTCCATTATTAACGTACGCCCCGGGGACTATAATCTCTACTCCTGGGTCACTGGGTACATTGGTGATTACCAATTCGATAAAGTCATCAACGTAACTTCAGGTTTAAACTAATTTATGAAGCTCTTTTAAAGTTCCAAACTATATGCTGTTTTAAAGTCACTAGTGGGCTAATGTTGAAATAGGTTGTGAAATTAATGTGCATGAGATTGTTTATGAGCCACCAAGAGATGGCCCTACGTTGTGGGAAATAGGCATCCCTGATCGTTCAGCTGCTGAGTTCTATGTTCCTGATCCAAATCCCCTGTACATTAACAGACTCTATGTCAACCATACAGACAGGTTACTTCTCTTTTTGCCTATTTGGATATAATTTCTCATAACTGCTTCGTTCATATAACCTGTAAAGCTATACACAAATTCAATATACGTTGCTTTCTATCCAAAATATTATCATAGAACTTTCAAAGAAAAGGAAACTTTGTGTCCCTGTTACCTGCAGGTTTAGGCAATATGGCTTGTGGGAGAGATATGCTGATTTGTATCCAAATAAAGACCTAGTTTACACTGTTGGCGTTAGTGACTACAGAAAAGATTGGTTCTTCGCTCAGGTTAATAGGTGTGTTTTTTTCTTTTTTTGCTTTTCTATTGCCAATGCCATATATGTCTTCTTTTCATATTTTTTGTTGATAATTAAACCCAAACCTCACCTCATGAAAGCACTACACATATTATGATTTGGAAAATTTGTTTCAATGGTCTTGATTAGAGGCACTATTTTAGGAGAGTTTAGGTTCTGCACTTCTGCTTATAGCCTAGGTGTCTCAAAAAATGATTTGTCTCTCTCCCTCTCTGATTATTGTCTCAATTACTTTCCTTTGCTGATCCTCAGGAAGAAAGACAATGGCACATACCAAGGAACCTCATGGCAAATTAACTTCAACCTTGATAGTGTTAATACCAATGGATCCTACACATTGCGAGTGGCTCTGGCAACTGTGCATTCTGCTGAATTACAGGTATGAAACTGTGTGTTCAATACTTTTGATTTATTATTATTATGATTACAAAATTTGTGCAATGCACAAGTATTTTGTCTCAGGAACTGCGGTTTGTTTTGATTTTGTGAGGGTAGATTCGGATAAACAAATTAGAAGCAGATCCACCTTTATTTTCAAGTGGAGTAATTGGAAAGGAGAATACAATAGCTAGACATGGGATTCACGGTCTCTACTGGCTATACAGCATTGATGTACACGGCACTCTTCTTGTGCAGGGAAACAATACCATTTTTCTAACGCAAACAATGAACCATAGTCCTTTCATAGGAATTATGTACGACTATATTCGTTTAGAACACAAAAGTTGATAGTCAAAATTAACTATTATTTTCAACCATATTTATTCAACACAAAAATAGTTATTTGATAAGCTTTTTTATTTTTAACTTTTTCTCTTCGCATACTGTTTAGATTTACAAACGTCTATTTTCACTCTAAGCGGCATCCTAATTCTTTGTTTCGTCTTTAAAAAAATATATAAAAATATACTAATACATTCATGTATAAATATAAATATTTATATAATGATTATAAATATTCATATTATATCCTGAGTGGTGGAAGTTAATACTTTGTTTTGCGTGCTTATCTTTGTTTTGCGTGCTTATCTTCAATAAAGGATTGCCATTACATATGTATGCGGTCAAAGACAAAACTCATACAATTTTTTAGGTTTTTCTATTTTATTTTTTAATTAAAGTTAGAATTTTAGATTAGTGATCTTTATGTCTAAATTCAATGATTCAAGTCAAAGCTAAAAGATCCTTCAACACATATATTCCATTATCAAATCATTTCATTAATATATATATTAAAAGAAGAACAATGAAATACCTAACAATAATTATAATAGCCTACGTGTCGTGGTGTTTGGAACCATTTATTTTTTGTTAATTTGAAGACCAAAGGCTTGTAAATGGCTTGATCAAAGTAAACATTGTCTATTGTGCACTTAGTTCTTTTCTTCTTCTTTTTTCCAAATTTTTCCGTGACATTCTTCATTTTGTATTGTAATCAGTTTTCAACCTGTTTCACTTCAGGTTGTGGGGCTGAGGAAAAACTTTTTTTTTTTTCGTTTATTTATTTAGGAAGACAAATTTCTGAAGAAAATCCGGAAAGAATGTGACCGTTAAGTCAAATGACAGTTAGCAGTGAATTTTTCAGTGACCTGATCAGAATTCATCAGGTGATGTATTTTTACATTCAATCTTGACAAAGAAAAAAAAAATAAAGATAGGCATGTAACAACAAGAATTATATACACCCAATGAAATAAAATATTATAAATCATTTCCTATTAACATAAATCTCTCAATTTCTTACTAAATCATATAAAATTAAGGCCATAATTAATATAACAAATACTTAAATACAGATTCATTAAATTTGGTTGTCGATTTAAATTGTCTGTTACCTATCTAACTATCATTTTAGAAATCTTAATAATTATAAAAACCTTTAATCATATCCAGTAATACAAATAAATTAAAGATAGTTTTATAAAAAGAATAATTTCAATTTAAAAAAATACAAAACTCAAATTCAAATGGGTTAAAAGGAGAATTACTCTACAAAAGAAGTGGTTGAATTAAGTGAGTTGCATTGGTAATAACTTCTATTTTTATCATTGGGTAGAGGACAAAGTGACATAATTTAATAAGAAATATGTGAAATCTTTACACATGTTTTGCAGTGATATAAAAGGCATGGAAGAAATAAAGAATAGTTAAAAAAATATGTATGTGTGGATGATGATGATGAAGAAGAAGAAGAAGAGTTGATAGAAGGTGAGAAAAATAATTGAGAAAGTGCGTGTAAGACAGGAGAGAAGGGATCTCCGTATCCCATTCATGCACACTGGTGCAGGATCATGTCCCTTCCATCCACGTGCCTCTTATCACTTCCACTTGCATCCTACTCTCTCCCTACTCTATCCCCTTCACAACAACCACCTCTATCTCCACTCCATTTTTCTTCAGTTCTTACCCGAAGTTAAAGAAAGAGAAAACTAAAAAAATGAAGAAAGTGACTTGATGTGCAACGGCAGGCAAAGATAGAAAGGCAGATCCATGAACAGTGGTTTGTGAGTGAGGAAGTGAGGGAGGGAGTGATAACAAATTAAGAACACGCACCAGTAGTCCCTACCGTACAGCTGGTTGGGTTTGTGGCTGCGTTTGTGTGCGTGATTTTGAAATCCAACCCAACCACCTTCTCACAAGACCCTCTTCTCTTTCTCCCTGTCGTTGTTGTTCCCACTCTGTGTCTCTGTCTCTGTATCTGTCCTCCTCGGTATTATTATTGGTAATGCTCGAGAACCTGCTCAATCCCGTGATCTCAGACACACTTCTCGAATTTATTATCCCTCTGCCACTCCAACTGTCCTCAACCTCATCATCATTGGTACGGCGCGTCCCCCTTCGCCTTCCTCCGCGGCGCGTGTTCCATTGGGCCTCGCTCAGGATCATCTCCGACGTCAGATACAGCAGGTCCGAGGCTTGCACGTCGCTCCACCGCTGCTGGACCCCATACATTTTTCCTGGGCCTGGGCCTGGGCCCGGGGAGACAATGATCCGGTGTTCCAGCCTCCGTTCAACGCTTGTCCTATCACCCTCTCTCTCCGTCTCTTGCGTCAACAACATTCCGTCTTTTCTCGCGCGCACAATCCAACCAATACCAACAACACCGCCGCTCTCGCTCTTTTTTCTTGGTGTCGCGCTATCCAACGACCTTCGAAACGACGTCGTCCACTTCCTACTCTGCTCCTCCGTTCCCCTCTCCCCCACTGACGAATGCCTCCTCCGTCCAGACTCCGCGATCTCCTGCTTCTCCACGTCCAAATTCAAACGCGCGCGTTCCTCGTTGTTGCTGCTGCTGTTGTTGTTCCGTTGTTGAGTTTGGCGGAACGGCTTTGCGTCCTCCACCAGAAGAATGTCCTCCGGATCCACGCGGTAGCGGCAGAGAGGACACGTTGAATGCGCGTCCAGCCATGTGTCCACGCACTCGACGTGGAACGCGTGCTTGCATTTCGGCAACAGCCGGAGAACCTCCGCCGCCTCGAACTTCGTCAGGCACACTGCGCAGTCCAGTCCCTCCTTTTGTCCTCGCAGCGCTCCGAATCTGAAAACGGGAAGCGATTCCACCACGGTCCGGTCAATGCCGGAGTTCTTCCTTCCGGCGAAAGGCGCCACCGTCCACGGAATCGAGCTCCCTCCGCCGCCGCCGTGGATGCTCCCGCCGTTGCAGTGTTTGATGTAGAGGAGGAGGAGCGACGTGAGGGAGATTATGGTGGTCAAAACGCAGACGACGACGGCTATGCCCGGTCTGAACGACGGCGTGGTGTCGTTGTCGTTGTCGGGCGGCGGTGGAGCAATGATTCCATGGGGAGTTGGAGGTGGAGTTTCTCTGCAGTGTGCTGCATATGTATGTAATAGCATGAGAGCGAGGAAGAGGAGGAGGGAGAGAGTGAAGGAAGGTGCAGGATCCATGTGGGCGCGCGAGTGGTGGCGGAGGTGGCGTTTTTGTGTTAGCATTAAGAGGGACAGGCAGTGGTTAGTTGAGGAGGGTGAAGCGCAGCATTAATTTTTAATCATGTGGAGTGGACAGGGAAGCTATTTCGGGAGAGATTCTATGGTAAGGATTCAGGGGAAAAACATACAAAAAGACAAAGACAAATTCCTATATAAACTTCTCATCTTTTTATATATATGTATATAGAGAGAGAGAAATATATATTATTCATTAATTAAATACATCACCTACTATACAATATTACTCTTCTTTCCATAAATGCACTGGTAGTATGTTCATATTTTCCAATTAATACTACTATTCAAATTTAATATTTAATCCCTTTCAAGCATTTCATTATTTTATTAACATTTTTCTATATTTTCTTCTTTATGAGAATCAAGTCCAAATCTTCACACATCAACATATACTCAATTGAGTTCCAACGTTTGCTACAGGTATATTTCTTTTCTTTGAGAAGCATAATATTTATAACATTAATAAACTCATTAAATGTAGACAATAACTATCAATTACTATCAATAACTAATCAAAAGCGATTAGTAAAACATGTGACTGGTATAATGCAAAAAATATAAAGTGAAAATATAAAATGTTTCTGATATTGTATCTAAGGAAAAGATGTTTCTAAAAATCGTTTTTAGACAATAAGCAAACAAGAAGGTGAGGATGGATTGAAAAAGGGTGGCGGTTGTTGCGTTAGAAGTATATGGGTGGGATGGATCTAACGGCCTCTAGTGATACAGCATTGGGAAAGGAACCTATCATATTTTTTATTCACCCTATAAGATAGGAAGGACCGCAGCATTGGCCTTTCTGTGTTTCTACCTCTCTGCTGAGGTCACGGCACAAGGTAACACCACCACCATGCTATTATGGATTTCATTGTCATGCTGCTTCCATTTTTGTTTTTGCTCCAATTGGTCATCTGTTCTTTACATGTGAAGTCTCATCAAGAATATCGATCTCTATAACAACATTTCTGATTGCTCTAAAGCTAATTGCAGACTGCACACAGTAGTCACGGGACCACTGCCTCTTATCATAAACTACTTACCTCTCAACCATGTGCTTCTGCTCACTAATTTTATTCCTTACATTAAACCTTCTTTTACTTAATCTAATTTTGTAGTTTCCTCGTTACATAAATTAAGTCAAAAAGGGTAGACCATTATGGTCTGTTTGAGTTGTTTAGACCATACAAGTTTAGGCAAATTATTGTCCTTTTACCAGCTGATCATGTAGAATTATTGTGGCTTTTTAACACATTAGTTTAATATAATTGGTAAACTCAGCAAACATTTCTATATACTCTAGTATGCAGAACAAAAACAAAACTTGCCTGGTTGTCATCTGTCAGGTTACAAATACGTTAACTATGATTCCGTATTTATGATGTACTTCTGTTAAAATGGGGATCTGGACCACAATCTAGAGCATGACTAAGCCTAATTGAATATGCATGCACCTGAAGGTATACATCACAGATTAGAACACTACGGAGGTATTGATTGTATTTGTTTCTTGTTCTGCGTGAAAAATGAATGTCTACTGCCACACTCTTGGAAGAAAACATGTGCAAGATTGAGACTTCTATTTTAACAATCTGCAACATTTCTATCTGGTTCCTCTAATCCTTTCCCTACCTTCAATTTCATTTTTCCCGTTTTGTTTTAGTTTTATACGAAGTTTATGGATTCCAATTTGCTCTGTGGACCACCTTTTCTTTGTACAAACTCCTAAACTTCAGGTGATTATTCTCCAAACAAAGCTTTGTTTCACCATGTCCCTAAGTATATCTGAAATTTCCAATAAATGCCTTTGGAGTGATTGATGGATTTAGATAATGCATGACACTACAAACAGGGTGGTGTGCCACTTGAATTTCACTAACAAGGAATCAGCATCTTTGTCCACTGGGGATGCATGCCTGGTGCAAGTTTGCAGGAGGTATCTCTGTTGAATATATTCATGGCATCTTTTTCTTCTGATGAAACATTTTGGTTGATTTAACACTGACCGAATGATTTGAAATTCTAACATGTACTGAACCAGACATGCACTAGTCACCTCACTCAAATGATATTTTCTCAACTTCTTCATGCTGCCACTAGCATGGCAATTTTTTGGCACTCCAATAAATTTAAATAGAACAGATTTGAAATAATATATATATATATATATATATATATATATATATATATATATATATAACTTATATTCTAATTAATATAAATTATTGATATTTTTTTATTTCTTTCACTCTCGATATTTTCTGTCGGCAAGGAGATATCCTGGATAGTTGTAGACGAAAACTCAATGATATTTATAAAAAATAAAATATAATAAATTTTACTTTGTCAAGAAACTAATGCATAAATGGATCTACATAGAACGTGTAAGATCATTTTTATTTAGTTTTTTTATAATTTGAAATTGAAAAAAAAAATTACATATATTCATTTACCTTTTAAAAAGCTTCATATCCATATAAAATATTTTTGAGATGATTTCGGATCAAGTTTCCACGAAAATACTATTTGAAAAATGTAAAAATCTAACATTTCTTAACTAAAATAGTTTCTTAACCAAAATACAAATTTATTGAAAAAAATATGTCATGTTACTTTTGCTAAAATAATTTAATGTAATAATTCATTAAAAGTAATATATAGTACAAAAATATTTAATCCTTACTTACTTGAAAAAAAAAACAATGTTTACTTATTATTTGCATAATTCATTATTTCCATGAATCCACTAAATAATCAAAAATTTTAGATTATAGATAGATATAGTTTAATAGTTATAATTTTTTTGTTATTTTATATTACGAAAGTAAACATAAGGGTGTTTTTCTAGATATAAGATAATTTTATTTAATAAATATTTTAAAAAATTAATAAATAGAAGTTTATTAAAAACACACTTCAAGTTACAAGTAACATTTCAAAACCATGGTAAATATACTATATAGATTTTGGTTTTTAAACATTACTAATGAAATATTAAAAAATAAGCATAAGAATACGAAAAATGATTAATTCAATTTAATAATAAAATAATTTAGAAAAATATTGAAGGAGAAAGAAAAAATCAAAAGACGAACGTAAAATAAAAAGAAACATAAAAGAGATAATAAATAGAGTGCAAAAATGAGATATGAAAAGTATTGTTACCATTTATATTAAATGATTTCTTTAAAGTTATAAATTAAATATTTATATTATTAGGTTAAATATATATTATGTGTTTTTTTATTTGATTTATTATAAATGTAGACTTTAATTATAATATATATATATATATATATATATATATATATATATATTAGTGTAATTTAAGTTTATTTGATGTTATATATATATATATATATATATATATATATATATATCAAAACTTTTTTTAAAAATAAAATAATAATTAATATTTAAAGTAAACAATACCCCCAACATTATAATAAATTATAATAATCTCATATGAGATCGAAATATTTCTTCTTAGAAAACATAATCACTTATACCAATAAAAAATTGAAGAACTATGTAGCAACATATACATATCATATCACATCATAATTAAATTATCTTTATCTTATACTTACTACGTTGAATAGGATAAAACTATTATAAAATATTATGTTAAATTATATAAGAGTTTCACCTCCATATCTTATTTATTTATTAGTGATATAATGATATTCTTGATTTGTAAACACTTATTTTTATCCTTATCTTAATTAAAATTCAAATTTTAAAGGAATTCTAAATTATTTTATTTAATCTTGCATAAAAAAATTATTTTATTTTCATAGGTTTAAAATAGAAGTTAGATGTTAAAATAAAATTTATTACAAATTTGTTATCTTTGCTAATATTTAGGATTTTACTTCCTCTTTTATTAATCATACAAATTCAATATCGGAAGAATCAAATTTGGGCCTTTTATAGTTCATATTTTAATTGGGTTGAATCTTCCAAACATCATGACAATATGATTTGAATTCTTTTTTTATAAATTGAGTTTCCTAACATTAATTAATAAGGTCCATGAAATCGAACATTGTAATAGAAGAAGATCAATTGACATAATTAAAATATAAAAGAATCCAGATGTACAATTGTAATATCCTTTAAATTGTTTATTACAAATTTGATTTTTACATGTAATATAATTTACACTTTCGTTTAAATCCTATGTTAAAATTATTCAATTAAAAATAAACATTTATCTTTTATATTATATTATATAAACTGAAATAATAATAATAATATTTTTAATTAAAATTTTCATATTCTAAAGACAAAATATTCATTTCATCGTCATGGTCTAATTACTATTTTATGTTTTAATAAATTATCAAAAATATTTATCATACATATGTAAAATATATTTAATATTTTTAAAATTTATAATATTTAATATATTTATACAGTATATTATATATTTGAGAATAACATTTTCTCATTAAATTGCATAACTAGGGGACAATTTCTAGATCTCGTTCCTGAGGAACAAAAAGGCTGTATTTGGGGTTCTCTCCTACGCCGTGTGAAGTCGACCTTTGTGAGCGATTGCCCTACTTTTCGGTCTTTGTTTTTCTGTTTTTCTTTAGTTTATTCATTGCATGTTACTGCTGAAAAAACATGAAATCATTCTATTTACTTTCAAGATTTGGTTTCTGAAAATTGTAGTCAACCATTTGTATTTCTTGGTCCTTTTCTTTGGTGCTTTACATGACAATTGAATTCTGGGTGTGGAACACTGTATGACACATATTAATTTGACTAATTGATTCTGTTTTCTTCTAGGCTTCGTGGACTATTTTGAGGTGAAAGAAACAAGTTGGGACCTTTGGGTTTTCATAACCCTGAAATTCAAACTATGAGTGCTTGTGGGATTAAGAGTGGAAAAAGTGAGACCAGTGAAGACGGTGCCAATGATTCAGTGGCTTTGGGAGATGTGATATTTATCAAGCTTCGTGGTAGCTCATGGTGGCCTGCACAGGTAGGTGAATTTTTATGCTTACTGGATTTTATGACCTTATGAAAGATAAGATACCATGTTTATGGACAAGTCATTGATGTCACAAAATTTAAGAGCACATTTTAGTCATTTGACGTTAAACAATATTTATCCTACATTTAGATATCATCATGTTGCTAACAGAAAATGGAATGCTAATGTGATTTTAGCTATAACAGATGTTAAAATTGGCGACCAGACCTATATTATTTTTGTTTTATACCAAGTAATTGGATAAAAATAAAAAAATTGAATAATATATAAACTGAAAAGATTCATTTAAGTAATGTTTTGGGTTGAAGGGTGTCATAAGGTTGTCATGTAATTTATTTGAAAATATCTCCCAAGTGATGTCCCATTTGCAAATTCACAAATACCCATTCTTTATATGATTGTTTTTTTTGTCCCATTTGTGAATATCTCTCAATGTCAATGTTCCATTCACAAATACCCAACAGGATGAATCTGGAAACGAAATTGCTTAATTTTTGAAAATTGAATGATCAAAATGTATAATTAGATTTCTACTAGGACCTAAAGTAAATTTAAGTTTATTCTTACTTAAGTATCTGATTTGTTGTAGGTAGTTGATGAAAATAGTGTTAATAAGAGTGTTAAGCCAAGCAGACGGAGCAAACGATCCCCTGGCAACATCCTTGTTCGGCATTATGGAAGCTATACATAGTCAGTACTTTTTCATATATATATTCCTTACTGTACAATACAAAGCATGTTTGCATAGCTATTTTGCAGCTGCATGTACTTTTGGATAAGAATACTCCATGTATCTTTTGTTTAGAACATACTTTTGGAACGGGTGCAATGGCTATCTAGAGACACTTGCACATTTAATTCCTTGTAACAGTCATTGTTTTCTTCTGCAGCTCGTATGCAGATCCTATCAAATGTCGTGCTGAGTTTAAGACTGTAAGTTGTTATTTGGTAACCATATAATGTGTATTTACTTAGTTACTCTTTGTCTCTTTGTAAATATCATGATATTGGTATGATTTCTCTGTGCTTACATTTTTGAGCTTTCAGATACTCGAGCGTAATGATGGTTCTCTCAGGAAACTACTTTTGCAGACTCTTGAACAGGTGTCCATACCTTCTTTCTTTGGATTCCCAGTGATGAATTTATGAGCGTGATCTTCAACATTTTCTTATCAGCAAATTGTCTTAACACTTTGAATTAACCATGTTTCCTTTGCTGTCATTTCTTTATGGGTGAAGGATCTTCCTAGCACAAAATCCCGTGGATCAAAGGGGTCTTTATTGCAGCCTAAAGGTTAGCCAATTCTCTTGTGACTAATGGTTTTACTACCAAAATACAAATATCATAGCTATTTTGAATTTTCTCTTTCCTGAGAAAAAAAAAAGAAGAAGAAAAGGAGAAAAAGAGATGAGTGTAAACAAAACAATGGTTTGGACCACCATTTGGTAGTATCCCTTTTCCATTTTGTTGTTACTGGTTGTAGTTAATTTTGTATAATTATGAAATGCAAGATTCTTTTATTTTTCTGTTATTTAGATAAGTTAGATATCTCTAACTGTTCTTAAGTTAATCCCTAAGATTAACAGATGACTATTTCCTGCAATATCTCTTCTATCATAATTGTATATATTCATCCCTAGATGAGGGTTCTCTTCTGCAAGATATCGATAAAGCATTCAGAAGTTGGTATCAAAGCTCCTCTGTTTGTTCTTGGTCATTGTCAACCATTGTCCCGGCTGACCCGTCCTTTTGTTTTTGGCCATATCTGGTCTGTGGGTCCCCCTTTTGTTGAGGACCTCTTCCTGTTTGTTTGCTTCCTAACTGTTTCCTGCACTTTGTTTGTTTGGGTGCTTCCTAAGCTGTTTCCTCTCTTGACTTTGTTAGGGCCTGTTACTGCCATTTGGTTCTGCTTTTGAGTGACTTGTCTCAATGGCTGAAAAATTGGTTTATTCCCCTCAGGTTGATTCTAAAGGTGAAAGAAAGAGTTTGGTTTTGTTTGCTTTTTCTGGGTCTCCCACCGCTGAAAATTTGAATGTCAAATATTACTTGGATTGTTTTCAAGGCTTTTTGAAAAGAAAAAGATGTATCCTAGGACCTTCACCCCATTCATAGTGGAAAAGAGACCATCCCTTTCTCATAAGCTGGAAAATAAGCTAAGGACTTGGAGCCTCACCTCTTTTGTAAAGGCAAGTCACATAGTTAATGGATTCTTTGGTTCGGCATCTATTCTCTCTATCACTATTTGTCTGTCAGATTTCAACTTAATACCAATTGACAACACTAAAAAAGCTATGATACCATATCCGATTTCAACTAAATGTCAATTGGTATTATGTTGAAATCTGACGTGGTAACAGAGTCTTTTTAGTTTTGCCTGTTATAGTAGACATCTTAGTCGAGAGGGGATGTTAGGAAGAGTCTCATGCCTGCCTCAGTTCTCCTTAGTCAAGGGGGATGTCAAGGAGATTCTCACATCATTTGTCTCAATTCTTCTTGTATGACTTATATATTTGTTGGTCACTTTGCCTAAAGCCAAATGATGTTAAGTTGAAATTTGGCATGATATCAGAGCTTTCTTAATCTCACCAATTGGTATTAAATTGAAATTTTACATGGTGTCAGAGCCTTTTTAGTTTTGCCTATTGTAGTAGGCATCTCCTTAGTCGTAGGGAGATGTCGGGAGAGTCACACACCACCTGTCTTAGTTCTCATGGTACAATTTATATATCTATTGGTCACTTTGTTTAATATCAATTGGTATTAAGTTGAAATTTAACATTATCTTCTTCCAACAGGCCTTTGTTTCAACAGTTAGTTGTTACCATTCGTAAGACAATAACAAAAGCAATCAATAGCCTTGGATGGTTGATGAGATAACCTTTAGAGTCCCATCATACTTGGACTTTTGTTCTAGATCCCCTTGGGAAGTCTATTGTTTGTTGTAAAGTTAAAGTTGGTTGTGTCTCCTTGGTGCTTGGTTTGAAGGATTTAGCAATGTCATCTGGTAATTTAAGATTGACTCATTCTGAAATAGATCACTCTAATTTCATTAAGGGCTCTCACTCCCATAAACATATTTATCTTGTGGAGTATGGCAATGATATTGTTATTATGTACGTATAATGGCACTTAAAACACTTTTCCCATCATTTCCAAAAAATGGGATTATATATCCTTGGGATTGAAGTTGCTCAATCCCAGACTTGATTAGCGTTGTTATTGATAGTGATTTATAATTGATACTACCACCAGTTAGAGTTAAACTTGATATCAGACTGCGGGTCAACATGGTGTGATGAACCAGATGCATCATAAAGAAAACGTTGATAGTGCAGCACCCTATGGAAGCATAAAGGAACTTCGGGGGGGAATGAGATGGTGCTAAGGAACCTTGAAATAAAGTGAATGACTCAAACTGAGGGCAAAGCAATACCGAGAGCCTTATGGAACTGTTATAATACTAACTTATGTCAGAATGTCAGCATTTATGTTGATTATAGAAAAATAATTTATTGATTATTAGAGGTTTCAGATAGAGGTTATTAACTTAGAAAAATCTCTGGGTATAATTCAATCATTAAATGCCATAACATTTGTGTTACCTACCACTCATTTGTCTCGATTGCTTTCTCTGAACATGGTATTAGATTGATATCATGTAATCCTTTCGTTATTCCACTGTATAGTTCCTGACACTACTTTGTTCAATGTCTTAACTGTTTTATCATCCATCAGTTATGATCATATTTTTAATCGTTTGCTCTTGTTTTTACTTCATGTGTTGTGTGCATGTTCCTGCTGTACGTTACACTTGTATCTTCTGCAGCTGTTCTTTTATCTCTTCCTTCTGTCCAGGCTGTGGAAAGTGTTTCTACAGTTGTTTTCCCCTTTGCCACCTTTGACTGAAACCTTAATTTCTCCAGCAGCAGCACTTTCTCTGCTTTGTTATTTCCCCCACATAATCCTGTGCTGGTGTTCTTGTTTTTCTGTGATTGCAAAAGTTTCCCTCTGACCTGTGGTCTTTCAGCTAGATTTGTGGCTTCCTATATTTTTTTTATTTCATTCCATAATGGTTCGTTACACTCTGATTCGTACACTGGAGTCCCACTTTGGTTTGAACATCCATTTGCAGGCTTCTGATGGCACTTCTTCCATGCCGGTCATATACCAGTGTAATCCATTGCTTTTGCGGTGGTTGTACGTGTATATATTATGTTCTAGTGTTGTTTGTATTATGTGTAGTTGGTCTTTATACATACATGGTTGCGGATTTTGGGATGTGTTCCATTAGTTTGACTACTTTTGGCACTGTTTGGTTGAGTGTAATTTATATTAAAGTGAGAGAACTTGGTAGCTCAAGCGTCAGAGGCTCCAGAGTGTTAAAATATTACCATTGTTGTTGCACAAATTTTTATTTCCATTCAATGGACTAGATGATACCCATTTACTGAATATTAAGCCAGATGATTTGCATAAATTCGAGAACATATAAATAGTCTAACACATTTTCTCTTTTTGTTCTCTTTCAACAGGAGCATCAAGCAAAGATGCTGCAGGCAAGAGAAAATCCAATGGGCAAGATAAGGAGCAGAATAAAATCAAGCACAAAAAGCAAAAAGATAGGTCAAACGATAATGATTCGGCTAGCCAAAGTCGTGTAAGTACTTGTTGAACCTTGTTATTTTATATGTTGTTTCTTCCATTTGTGCCTAATGACTAAACATATATACTCAGGAAACAGGCTCGTTAGGAAAGTCCCCAGAGTTGAGCTCCAGGAGGATAAGAGTGATGGAAAACCTTGGCCTCATTGCTCCAGCTGGGTCACCATTCCAAAAAAAAGCACATAAATCTAACAAAGCCTCGTGATTATGGATATGAAGGAGTTTATATAGAGAACAGCATGCGTAAAAACATCCTCTTCTAAGATCTCACATGTTCGTTTAGTTAGTGGTGAGAAATGTTTAACATGTAATTTAGGATAATCTTACTTTAGTCAAACGCCCACCCCTTCTTCCTTTTGGCAAATACTGTGTTGGGTGGTCTGTTTATTGGGGGTGAAAGAATGTGGGAAATGGTTGACATGTACTTCTCGTTTGTTTTAGTTGTTTTATAAGAAAAACGTTATATTAGAAATCTAATACGTGATCACTTTTTAGAAATTCCATTTCAAGTAAAAGATATTTGCTGATTATAAATATAAAAAAATATTTTGTTGATTTTGAAAAAATAATTATAATTGTAGTTTATTTCAGAAGCTATTTTAAAATTAAATATTTTTTTAAAAGATGTTTATTTGTTTAGAAAATTTTGAATCAAATGGACCCTAAACTAAGATGTTTTGCTAAGAAAAATAAAATTGCTCCTAGGAGAGATTATACGGACTAGGGGCCCAACTTTTTACTTCCCCTAAAATATTTAACACACCTTCTATTTTGAAAAAATATTCTGAAATGTGAAAAGATGTGAAATTTTTAAGGTGCTCCTAAAGAGGCTGAAGCAATTTCTTTACATGACAAACCAAAAATATCACTATATTTTGGGCCCAATTATGAATATTATCATATTTAGATTTAACCAAATATATAAATTTTAAAATATATAAAAATTTATAATATATATATATATATAAAAGTAAGTTATAGAAATTAGAAAAAATTTAAGAAAATAAGAATGAGTAAAATTGAAAATCTATACTAATAATATATAATATTTTAAGGATTTAAAAAAGAAAACTAAGGACGTTCTACGTAAATAATATATGAACCAATAATACTTTAAAAAATTGGATTGATACTGGAGATTATAGTAAAATTAAAAATATAGAAAAAATTGAAATATAATTAAATACAAAATAATAAGAATTATACCTAATAGAGTATAATATTGAAAAACTATAGATAGGATTAAAACATCTTAAAACACAAGGCAACTAAAAGATAATGAAAATTATACAAGTCATACATTAGAGTGAAGTAGGTGTAAAGAATTCATTATAACATTTTAGTTAAAAATGTTGAAAATATATAAGTCACACTAAAATTATTTAAAATCATAAAAATATTGAAATGTGACTGTGGCATTTTAATTAAAAATATAACCATAACATTTTTTATATAAAAACAGAAGAGAGCACCAAAAATCATTTTTATTTTATTTTTAGTTAATACTAAAAACATATTTTTAATACATCTTTAAGTATATTTCTTTTATTAAAATTTATAAAAAAGACAAATGTGAAGTTAGTATCTTATTTGATGATTATTGTCCGTAGGAGTGAAAATAATTAAAAATAATAATATCTGTCCTACACTGAAAATAAATATAATTTAAAATATAAAGTGATATTTAAAAAAAATATATATACATATATATATAATATTTATAATATATAAATAAATAAATATAATTTTTATCTTAATTACAGAGAGCTAAGTATTTTCTAATAAAAACAAAGATATTTAAAATACATTTTTATATTTTTCTAATAGACTAAAATTATTATTTTTATTTTAACATCCTTAAAAAAAAAAAATGTTGACAGAGTTGGCTACACCGGCAGCTGGTCCTAGTCAAAAGTGTTGGGTTTGATAGGCTCACAGCTTTCGTTCAAAAGTAGACACCTCCCAGAGCCGTCACTTCTATCTTGTATTTCTTCCATGCATAACATTCAAATGACATTGGGAGAGACAAAACTTTGTTTCTTTTAACTAAATAGGATCAATTTAAATGATTATATGGTAAAAAAATATTCTTTCAAAAACAATTAAAATAATATTATTTTAGATTTTCTGTTGATTATTCAGATAGTGAAATAATTATTATGTTTAATTAGAAAAAACTAAAATAAAAACAAGCTAAAAAGTTATTTATGAAACTATTTTCAGATCAATAGTTAATAATGTTATACTGCTAATAGATTTATTTAGATTAATAATAATTTGTTTATAAAATAGTTTTAAGAACTTTATATAATTAAGTGTTTAAATTTGACTTGTAGGTTAAACTATGCAAGTTTGATGATAAATAAGTCAAATTTACACTATTTAATGGTTATCAAATTCATCGCATCTAGTGGTTTTTAATGTTTCTTTTTAGATTCTGATCTGAAATTGAGTCATGTCATGTTAAATAGTTTAAACAATATTGTCAAATTTCACTTCATAATGCTTTGAGAAATCCAAAACAATGTCTAATACTTCTAAAATTCCACTTGACACGAATGATTTTCTTTTTCATTAATATTATTATTATTATTATTAAATTTAATATAGCTAAAGACATATTTGTCTGTTAAGGATGTTTTACAAAGTTATGAAATATGTTAATCCTTACTAGATGACACAATATAATGTAACTCATTGACAAATAAAATAAATTGATCTACCATGTTGAAACAATTTTGAAATCTTAGAGAAAATAAAAAATAAAAATAAAAAAAGTGTTCTGACGTAAGACAATTTATATTTAAAAAACCAATACCACTCGTCAATTGTTTGAAATTAGTACAAAATTGAATATGAAAAAGAAATTAAGTTTTAATATTTATTACTAATTAAATATTTTTTATTCAAATTTAAAATCTTATTTGGGAAGTAGCATTTTTTTTCTAGAATATTTTTCCAACTTGATAAACTTTTTCGAAAAAAATTGGGTTTTATACTTCTTTTGTTGACAGTTATATTTATTTTATACCAATTGAGGAAGTTTTTGAAGTAAATTTAGACAAAGTTAAATTCAATTAACTACTTGAATAAGTTTAACATTGAATCATATTTAAAAATAAATTATTCTTTAAAAATAGGAAGACACTGTATAGCTTTTGAAAAAAATAATTTGTACTTCTATTCATTGATTGGCTGAACACCCATGCATTAAGAATATGACTTTTCTCCGTACAGTTTTCTAAATTAATACAAAATTAACGATAATTTGAATCTTAAACATCAATTAGCTCCTACAACACTTGTCGTCCAAAAATATATATATATATATATATATATATATATATATATATATAAAAAGAGAATAATTAATTCAAGTTTTACACTATTTATAACTCTCTTTTTTCAATTTTATCATTCTTTTCAATTACACTTTATGTTTTATTTTTATATTATATTTAATAAATTAGAATATTATTTAATATTCACTATTAAACATTAATTTTTGAGTGACATTAATATTAGTATTCAGAAGACACCTAAAGGATAATTTGAACTACTAATACAATATAAACCGTGTCATAGAGATATATGATTTTATTTATATATAAAAAAATAAGTAGAAGTGTAAAACAAAAAATATATGACTTGAAGAACCAAAGTTCTAATGGCAAGAGATTTATTTAATATTTGACTGATAACTTGTATAGATTTCAAAATAAACATTAATATTAAAATATTGAAAAAGCTGTGTAATTGAAATAAATTATTTAATATTACTTTCAGATAATTTTATGAATAAATTTGCACAAATAAAATAAGAATTTAAAGTAAATCAATTTGGTGCTAGTAGAGCCAAACCAAGTTAAATATTCACATTGATGTCAAACACCGAATGAAAAGAAAAAAAGTACAATTAAGTTTGTAAAGGGAAGAGACTCACTCTTGTTAAAAATAGATTTTGATTTAAAATCATACAATGATATGATACAATTAAGAATATAGTTGTCAAATATATACTACAATTAACAATGAAGAACAAATTTCATGGTATATTTGGATTAATGTCACTAAGTTAGTTGTTATTTGGATTATGTTTAATTTATTTAATAATTATTTAGGTGTTTTTTGTGAATTTATTTTAATAGTTGTGATGGACAGAGTTTGTGTGAACAGAAAAAGGATAAACCGTGTCGTTTTGATTGAAGGAGGAGACTGAGATATGGGAAAGATGAAAGCGTAATTGAACGAGTCAAAAATGGTCTCCTGAGAATGAGTCAAGCTTAGGTACCGAATAAAAACAAGTTTGGTGGAAATTCGAAGTAGAGAGATTAATGTTAAAGAAGAATTGAGTTTGTGCAATGAATTTGATTTGGGTGAGAAGAGGGAAGAAGTAGGGCATGGGGTATGAGAAGGAGTGAAGAAAAGGAAAGGCGGTGGAAGATTGAGGCACCCAATAATGCTCAAAATGTAATAGACATCCATCTATCTGTCTCTATCTGTCTCATGTGTCTTGTGGACCCGCCCTTTCTTCCAACCAGCGGCGCCATTAGTCTTTACTTAGTTTCCAAGCTCACCCACCCCTTTTTATCTCTCTCCGATCCCACACCCATTCTCCATATATACCACAATAAACCCTTTCTCCCTTCTCTTCTCCTTCTCAACTTTCTCTCCTCCATCTCCTTTATTTTAATCCAAAACCCAATCATACACTCGCTCGGGATTGGTTATTCTAAGAGATAATCCAAAAGGAGGAAACCAAATAAAAAAAAGCAATGAAAGGTGAATACGTAGAACAACACCAACATTCTAAGACTGAAACACCACCTAGTATGTTCTCAAAGCTTCAACCTCAACATCATCCTTTTCCGCACCATCCTTTCCAACTCTCTGCGGAGGACGACACTCGTGCCATCGTTGCCACACCCACTACTGCACCCAACCCCAACTCCTCTGGCGGCGATGGCTCCACCATTGAGGTCGTGCGCCGTCCCAGGGGCCGTCCTCCTGGCTCCAAAAACAAACCCAAGCCACCTGTCATCATAACGCGCGACCCTGAACCGGCTATGAGTCCCTACATTTTAGAAGTGTCTGGGGGCAACGATGTCGTCGAGGCCATCGCGCAGTTCAGTCGGCGCAAGAATATGGGTATCTGTGTCCTCACGGGTTCTGGGACCGTCGCTAACGTCACGCTCCGTCAACCCTCAACTACGCCGGGCGCCACCGTTACTTTCCATGGCCGTTTTGATATCCTCTCTGTCTCTGCCACCTTCCTTCCGCAGCAATCCGGCGCGTTCCCGGCTGTTCCCAATGGATTCGCTATCTCCCTCGCCGGACCGCAGGGGCAGATCGTCGGGGGAATGGTCGCCGGCGGGTTGATAGCAGCCGGAACGGTGTTCGTGATTGCCGCTTCGTTCAACAATCCTGCATATCACAGGCTACCTCCGGAAGAGGAGGGGGCCTCTGCGGATGGGCATTCGCCGCCAGTCTCCGGTGGCGGAGAAAGCGGGCATGGGCAAGCAGAGTCGTGTGGAATGTCCATGTACAGCTGTCACTTGCCTTCTGACGTGATTTGGGCTCCGACGGCCAGAGCACCGCCGCCACCGCCACCTTACTGATCAATCACACGTTTCATCTCTGTTCTTTTTTTATTTCTTCAGATTAATTAACTTGGTGGCTATTGTAATCAATTCCATGTGTTGGTCTCTTTAATTTGATTTAGCTGGTGTAGTTGAAATCCTCAGTTTTAGTTCAATTATTATTATCATTATTATAATTTTAGTTAGTAGGTTAAGTAAAATCAGTGAGTAGTAGTATTCGGATATATGTAGCCAGGGTGGTTTATTTGCGGCGCCAACTACATGGATGGCAATCCACCTCCTTAAAGAGTTGCTTTTTATTGATGATCATGGCACCAGTATTGAGAATGTTGTTTGTGGGATAATATCATGTTTTAAAGTTCTTGAATAGATTAATAGTTAATTTTTTTTATGAGATAGTAAAAAGCTGCAACCTTATGCTTGTAAGAAAAGGAAACTCAGAAATGGGTTGTGCTGGTTACCCTATCTCTATCAACGTAGGAAAGCGAGCGTAATCTTGTAATATATTCGGAGTGATGGGTCATGTGGCGTTTGCTGTTCACATCTGGTCACAATGTGGGCAGGATTTGGTTTGGTTGGAGGGATGTGGGGTTGGGGTGGGATGGGGGGTTGCTTTGAAGTGTGGGAGTCTGAGAATATCTGTGGACTGAGCTGACGCAGACGCTGATGCCGTGTACTGTGAGAAAGAGGAGGTGGGGTGAATGGTGTTATTGGATGAGGGGTGTGAATGATGGGTGAGGGTGTGAGATGTGTTGAATTTTGGGTGTTGGTGCGGATAAAGTGAGTTGATGGCAGTGGAGAACGTGGCTAGGGTTGTGCCTGGCAGTTTCTTTTGAGCAGAAGCGGTCATCTCCTGCTGCTGCAGCAGCAGTAGTTTTGGTTTGCTTTATGGAATAAGTTCTTAATATCACTTCAGAACAACCTCCCACACCCTCTTCTCAACTTTTTCTCTCCATCCCATTACTTTATATCTGATCTATCTGTACTTTCTTTTGTCTCTTTCTCATCGGCCCCTCTGATTTGCAATTAAAGAGAAAGAGAAAACTTGATAAAGTAAAAGACCCCAATTGCCACAACTCTACTGTGCCTTCTACTTTATTGCATCACCCACCGATCTATCACGCCGGTTATTGCCACCAAAAATTCCTTCCCACTTTTCATTACCAACACTAATCTCATCATTATTTTCCTCTCATTCACTTCCTCTCAAGTTCCTTGTTTAATGCATAACAATGGATTTGTGCACCATGTCGAGGAAAAGGAATCACCTTCCCTGGTCAAAATAAACCAGAAGAAACCCTGATCTAGGTTTGGCGCATCATAGACATTGTATCAAGCATTTTATAGGTGAATTATATTCCATTCATACCAATCCAAATATAGTCGTCCAAGGCTTTAGGGTTGAACTTGTTGAGGCTCTGAAGAAGAACAGAACTATTCCTGTTATCATTGTTTTTATTCACCATATTTAAATAAAAACATTTTTGTACAATATAAACCCACGCTGTAAATGGATTATTCATCCGCATAAAGTTGATGGATTTCATTTTTTTACATCTGATACGGTTTAGATTTGACGTGAGAATATCATCATTCTTTCACCGTGTCATAGAAAAACACACACTCAAAGGAAGGTTCCAATATAAGGGGGGAAAGGTAAATTATTCGACAACTGATCATACACACATTTCACTTAGTCAAATGGTTACACACCCACACATTTAATAAATATTATTATATATAAAAAATGTTACTCATTTTAAAAATATATCTATATACTCTTTTGTTTAACAACAATTTCAAAGTAAATATAATCATAAAAACACAAAGAACGGTACAAAAAGTAAATTTCTTACATATAGTTTTATATTGAGGCATTCTTTCAGGGTTTTTTTTTTTTTTAAATACTGATATAGTCACTTGTTAATCTGGAGAGGCTTAAATGCAAAATTAAAATTTATTTGTGCTACTTTGACAAAACATTGATTCGGTATTTTGTGTGTTTTCCAAGTGTCAAGCTAATTATGAAATAAAAGAATAAGTAATAAGAGTAGATATTAATAATTTTAAATTAATAGATACATCAATGTCGGTGCTAATTTATTTAATTTTTCTTTGGTGTTTTCGAAATACCAGACTTATTATAAATAAAAAAGTAATCAACGAGTCGATAGTAGAATTTTAAAAACTTTAAATTAATATATACTTCAACGTCGGTGGTAATTTATTTAAAATTTAATTTAGAAGGGACGTCTTTTGTATAACTCAAATGTTATTTTATTTATAGTAGTTTTAGTATTTTATATATATATATTGTAAATTTAATAGTTTTTACAATAATAATTTTAAATTACATATTGGTTGATTTATGCAATAAAAATTTATAATATATATATATTTTATCATAGATGCATGACTTTATACAAGAAAAGTACTAAAAAGATTCAAAATTTTTGTGAGGTAAAGCTTCCATTTTTGCGTATTAATGATTTGAACCTTGAGGTTATAACATGCATGCTCTAATAATCATCTTAAAAAATGTGGATCCTCCCAAATCGTCCTCATCACGGTACCAAATGAAATAGTTTGAAACCTTTTGGGAGGAACAAATAGCACTAAACCTAATGATTCACGTTCATGTTTTGGGTTGACTATGCTGATTCTATGTCGGCAATACAATGATTATTGAGGAAGAATTTGTGAAACAAGATTGGTCCATGCGGCTAGTTTTCTACCTCTTTTGCAATAGTTTTGGATGGACGTGTCCACACGTAGGTAAAAGGACTTGCTCATTTTCCAAATCACCTCTTTCCACAACGTGGTGCGATTCAAAGGATTGAATCTTCACCAAGAGAACAAAGGAGAGTGAGAGCATGTTTGTGTAGGTTTGAAGAAGGTATAGATTATTATTAAGCGGTGGAATTTATTGCATGGATCAAAGGTTGAAGGTGAAGGTGAAGGTGGCATGATGGGTTGGTGTGTATTGTAGAGAAAGAATAGAAAAGGGACAAGAAAAGAATTAAAAGAAGGAAGAAAGGTTGTGTTTTTGGATCGTGGGTGGGTGATAGCGATATGAATATTATCCAATCAAATATTATACATATTTAAAGTGGAATTTGTTTTGTCCTCCCATAATATCTTCACATGCTTCTTATCGATTTATTGCCTCCATCTTTGGCTTTGGATTTTTGTGTGAGAGTAGGATTTGTTTGTCCTCTAATAATTACTTGTCTTTATTTGTAACCCATGCATGCATGTAATGCAATCTCCATCTCCATGCTGCACATATATTTTATAAGTTTATTTGAATGAAATTAATCATGAAAAATCTCAATTTCACTACATATACCAATAACATATTATAAATAACTATAATCATTTTATTAAGTTGATTTTTAGTGTTAAATATGTATTTTTATTATAAATAAGATAATATTAGATAATGTATAAGAAATAAATATTTTTTTAATACGATACAAGTGAATATAAGTTTTATTTTATTAAATTGATTTTTTAAGATTAAATTAAATATTTTATTATATATTTTAAAAAATGTAAATTAATAAATAAATAGGTGCATTAGTGAGGCATATAGAATAGCTTCCTGCAAAAAAAAAAAAATTACATAATAAAAAAATATATTTGAAGAAATAGACACCTTGGTCAACTCAAAGAAAGCTTGCACATAAATAAGGATAAATTAAGTAAATCAATGATGATATTATGATACCTATGTCACATTTCCATTAGTAGCTAAATTTTAGAAAGAAAAAAACTCAATTTGACTAGGGTTGAGGAGGTGATTGACAAGGTTAAATTGTTATTGGGACAGTGAATCTGTGGAGAATTCTCCTATAAAGAATAAGTGTGAATAACTAAAACTAGAGATAAAACCCATTAAACTAAAGTATAATAAGGAAACCGAAAATACAACAAAGTAAAAAAAGCATAAATATAATTCTCTTTGTCTCAATATTTTTTAAATCAATACTAATTTATAAAGTTATTAAAAACTAAATATAATTGTATTTACTTGATTTATAAATCAAAATGAGTTTGATAAAAATATTTGAATAAAGTTTACAGATACTAATCCACATCTATGCACTGAATTAAAAATGATTGCAATGTGAACTCCAATAGCCGCAAAAAAAAAAAAAAAAAAAAAAAACAACTTTGAGACGAAAAGGTAAATTATATTGTATAATTAAGAGGAGTTATGGAATACAAGTTTAAGGTTTTATTATATCAACTTGCACCCTCTGTTGCTGCTTTATTCGACACAACTCTCATCCCAGAAAGTTTTTTAGAACTCTCTTTTTCATCCAAATAGTTTTAAATCCAACACACCTAAAATAAAGAAATTTAAGTTGTGGGGGAAAAAAAGATAAGTTCTACTGTTTTTTTTTTGTAACTTTTAATAAATTTAAACTGGTATAGTCAAATATCGTGTCAGAAAATATTAGTGTAGTGTAGCATTTCTCGTTTTTGTAACATATCTAACTCAAAAAGGAGTCAATTATCCTCTTTTTTTCGTCTTTCTGCTGTGTGTGTTGAAGATATTGATCGCATATGTGCATATCTTTTTGGTGTGTTGTTATGTAAGTATGATTTCTTTGTTAAGTGTAATGACTAGGGTTGGTTTTTGTTATTTGTCTTTTTCTTTTTCTTTAGGGCAAGAAGTTTGATAGAAAAAGCAATGCACGCGTAAGAAAAGAGAGAAGAGAATAAAACTACTACATGCAGGCATCAAATTACTGAGACATTGATCTCCCTTTATCAGAGGAAGCATGATTGAGTTGTGTTTGTAGCAAACAAATGAACATGCAATAATGTGAATGGATGGAATTCTGGAGCCTAAAACAGGGAAAGGAAATAAAGAGGTACACGCTTCAATTCCTGTCCCCTGCTTAGTGCCCCTTTCAAGTTTCAATTCACTTCTCCTTCAAGTTTTCTTCTCTCTTTATTGCCAAATTAGGTCGGAGAAAAACAAAAAGAAGATTAAGAAGACAGTGTTTCGGTAACTCTTAAATTAGATAACCATAACAATATTTTTAGTAAATCGTGAAATCGAAGCTCCTATGTTGTGTTGTCGAATCTATCTTTTTGTAGTACTGAATTGTGACTGTAAGTTGATAAGAAATATCGAAACTGAATGAATGAATTTTCCGACACATGAAAATGGAAAATGACGTGCATGGGTATAGTTAGTAAGGGATATTGCAAAAAGAGGTAAAGTTTAGTTATATAGGAAAGTTAGAAAATTGTAAGATATCTAAATTTTACATGACGAGTTATAAAGATTATATTTATTATTAGAGTTCACAATATTCTTCTAAATAAGAAAATTTTTCTTTTATCACATCTCTTGTATTGAATAAGATGTTTTTTTATCATACTTCTTTATATTAAAGATAAATAATCAAATATTAATATAAAAATGAATAATTTGGTTTATAATTATTAATAATTAATATTTTAACTTTTATAAAATTGATTATAATATTGTTTTAGTAATGATGAAATACTTAATTTAATTTTATTAAATTAATTTAGTATTATAAAGATTATATTTACCTATTTAATATAATATAATGTTATCTTTATTAGATAAATTAAAAAAAGGAATATAATAATATTTTTAATTTAAAATTTTAAGATAATAAATTTATAATTTTTTCTTGTTTATATTTAATTTAATATCTCATTTTTATATAATATTGAACTTTAATTTACACTTAAATTTTCTATATTTTATTTCATATTTTAGCGGTGAGAATTAACTTGTTACGAAGGAATGGACGCACACAAATACCGACGTGAACAATGAAATTAAAAAAAATGATTGGCCAGAAATCAAAGTATATGATTTTGATTTGGACGAAAGTTATTCAAAGTGATTAGCATTTTAGAAAAATACGTCAAATAAAGGCGTAATAGATCCAAAAATTTGTTAAGATATCACATCGATTAGAAATGAGAAGCCTCTTGATATATTAGAGCAGGTCCCACTTCAACTTTTGCAAATTTCTTTTTTGACGAGTGTAAGGTTATTAAACTTTACCATAGAAATTAATGAACATATTATTTATATGAAATTTGAATAATAACTGAATACATTATATACATTTTTTCGAGAATACTATTTTGGAGATCTCATCCTCAAAAAGGTAATTTAGTCGGTCATATAATTCATGTTTCAACGATTTCAAAGATGCTATGAATATTCAAGAGTGTTTGTAGAGGGTGGAAGGGTTTATTTTCCAAATCTCACTCGTTTTGCTCGCATATGAAGAAGAAAAGGAAGTAGAGAAAGTGGTCAAGTGGTGTCAGTAGCATGATGAAACCGATGGTTCATATGAAGAGCTCAACATTAGGTAACCATTGGATCGCGGTATGAATTGTCCAGGTAAAGACCAAAAAGCACTTTTTTGGTTTTCGCCAGGTGATGCTGGTAGAACCATAACATAATTAATTAGTTGAAACACATTTTCTCATATAATAATGCTTTATAATACTATTTCACTTCTTTATCATATAATTTATAATATATTTCTTCCTGCATTTTATGCATAATTAATGAACAACTAACATTTCTCTAAAAGTCCACAAATTTCAGAGTTTAAAATTTTAATTATTAAAGTCTCTTCCACCTTTACAAATAATCATTCTACAGAAAAAGATAATCACAAGATTTATTAAGTCAGGGCACTTTATGATTCATACGAATTCAATGCAGGTATAAATGAAGAGCCTTATCGGGAAAAAAATGCAAGTATAAGAAAATTAATATATTACTTTCCTTTATTTCAAGTATCACTAATTAAAATAACAGACTAAATCCCAGTAAACTTCTTTGACAAAGTTCAGCGATGTATGCTAGACCTAGTTAAGTTATTGGGAAACTGAGGTGGGTAATTTTGCTTTCTAAAAAGAACGCCGCCTCGAAGTATACATTCCATAGAGCATCCTCTCACTTCATTATTTACTGCTCCAAACTCCGGAGCTCCCTGTTACTAAGTTTTAATCGTTCGTGACTTTCTACATAATACACCACAGTGTCTATCATTACAATGGTTAGATCCTACTTTCAAAAAAGAGTCGGTCTCCCTACTGCTATTACTACTACCATTGCTACTAATCCTACCACTCACTAACTCTCTATGCTGTGAAGTTGTGTTAGAATGCAAACAAGAAACACCTACCCCTCTCCCTCTTCTTTCAACATCCACCGCTCCATTCCTGTATACAGGACCGTCTTTCTCCACACATGAACCTGTGGGAATGCACAAACCAGCCGCATCAGGAGAAACTGAATCATATCTGTCCATATCAGATAGGGGCGAATGTCGAGAGTTCAAGGGGGAAGAAGAGGAGGATGAGGATGTGTCATAATCAGAATTCCTCCACAGACTACTCCATCCATTTCCTGAATCACCAAAAAGGTAATCAGTCAAGTCATCTGTACTGGTTGAATCACGGGTACTATCCGTACTGCAAGAACCTTCATCAGAATTGTTGCTAATGAGGGATGAATTATCACTTGACGAGTCCTCCTCTAAAATCTTTTTCAGGTGGTGAAACTTAGAATAGAAAGACTCCAAGGCAGGTGAGCCATCTGGAGAGATGGAACTATCGACATGTTCAGCAACACCAGAATTCGGAGGTATAAATCTTGCTTTCGTTGCAAGAGTCTTTCCAGTAACTTTACTTTTTGAATCTGAGGATAGTATTCTGTTCCTAATTAATCTTGGGGCCCTTGGCGAACACCTACAACGTGATTCAAGATAATCAGATAAACTAACAAGAGAAATGTAGTTAAAAGGATAATTGAAGCCACCCATCAATGATTTAAAACTGACTGGTTCCATCAGTCTCCCTCCCCTGGCCAGACTCCGAAAATAGGCTGGGTTACCTTGCATATAAAAGCATATATGCTCCTTTTGCCATGACACTATCCAATTCAACAGCCGTCACCTGCAAGACATGCATAAAGCAGATGGTTAAAACCAGTAAAATACACGTAAAAACCATAACAAATGTTCTATACATTCCTTTATTTAAGTAAAACAACAGTGATTTGAGGACACATTCATCTACTAAACTCCACAGTACTTGCATCACAGAACAAAATGATTTTAGAAGGAAATCGGCTAGCAGAGCTTTCAATCCTGAATCTCTTCTACCACTTCGTCAGTTGTCTACTATTGCATGATATTATTTCAGTTTTATTGTGCCAATAAGGTTAAGGCTTTTTGGTTTAATCATTTTGCTTAGCAAAATGAATACTGATTTAGTCTTAAATTTTCTTTTGTAAGACTGAGGGTGGCACAAGGTAACAACTAACAATGCTGCCTTTAATATGCAAGTCTCGTAATCTAAAAACACGAGCTGCACAAGGTTGCTAAGTATTATATTGTATAAAAATTGAAAAACTCCACAACTAATATATTCTTAACAATGTTATAAAACCTGGATAGTTTCATGTGGGGTCTGGCCCCAAAAACGCTATAAAGGAGCAGCGTTGTTCTGAAAATTTTTGTATGCAAGAGAGAGGAGAAAACAGAGGCAGCTCGCTGGAGAGAAGACAGAACAAAAGGACAGAGGCGCTTGCCAAAGACAATGGAGACACCAGACGAAGTTGTCATAGAAGACAGAGGTAACAGCAACATCAACATAGGAGAAGCAGAGAGACGTTTGAGAAGAGACAAGAGAAACAAGGAGATGTATCAGTTCACAGGGCTTTTTTGGAATAGTCACTCACTGCCTCATTGCACCACTATGGCAATTGCAACAGCTGACTATACATAGTGCATTTGGGACAGCTGCGAAAGTTAGATTATTTCCATGATCAATTATAATCAGAATCAGTTTTTGTTTTAGTCACTTTGCTGAAAAGTGATTTAACAATTATCAAGTTTGTTTGGATACCCAAAATAAATTACCAAAAAGGGTATGTAGTTTCATCTTTTAATATATTATTCAAATACAGGGTAGTTTGCGAATTACACTTTTAAAAGTCAAATGAGTGCGTCCCAATTTAAGCAGCAGCTGGACTCCAAATATGCAACAAAATAGATTACATTTTAGAAAGGAAAAAACTATTTTGGAATTTAAGCTGATTCGTCAGAACAAGATTTAAGTAATCGAGAGGTTAAGATGTATTTGGGAGAAGATTGAATGTCCCCATTTCAGTTGTTTTCCTAGATATTTCAGCGGTTTATTAAAAATCCCTCCGCTATAGTGGGGCGATAGCATGCTTACTCAAATCCCTGATTTATTTATTTATTTTAAATTTGCAATTTGAAAAGCATTCCTGATAAATTTAGGTTTTACATTGTTCACTACCTCAGTAGGCTTGAATCAATTAGCATTAGAATAAAAGTATCTGTTTTGAGTATTAGAAAACTGTAGTTAGTTAGTCCTACAGTTAGACTGTCAATTAATGGGTTAGAGAAGTAACCCATACGGTAATAGGGTATAACTATGAGGAAAAGGAGAGTGGAGAGCATCTTCAGTTTTTAACGTACTTGGGATGGAGTCCAGGTCTCTCGAACACCTGGAGGAGTCTGTAGTCACATCTCATCTCTGCTCTAGTATCTCTAGTCTTCAATCCAAATCAAGAGGGAGAGATTATCAAATGATTTTCATTTCTTTCCCATATTCTGATCCAGTTCTATCACACATTCAGTTTATGTAACAAGAAGGACCATGGACTACTAATTAAGACAAGCATACCTAGAAAAGTACATTTGGGAACCAAAAATCAATTGCTCTTAAGGATTGGGAACAAACGCAAAATTAAGGGACTTACCACACTGTCATCAACCTTGAACCACCTGTTTTGGATATTCTTCACATAGCACACGTAATGACCCGAAAAGGCAGAATTCATGACATCTAAGTGAACAACTACCCCATACAATCTGTATATGGGTGATTTATCACTAGTCCCACTCATGAAAGGTGCCAAGTTAAGTATTTCAGGAAATTGAATAGGCTTGTTGAGCTTCCCAAATTTCCCAGACTGCAATACAGATGTAACAACTAAGGAAAACTCTGTATACAGGCTGGATAGCATGCCAGATAAAATAGCATTGTCTTTGAATGGAATACATCAAATACCTGAAATCTCTTCAATGCAACTGTAAGAACATTGGGTGCCTCTGAAACTGTCAGCTTCTTCTTGGCCTTCTCATAAGATTTACATCTTAAAATGAAAATAATTTATTAACAATAAGGAAAACCATTTGACTACAAGTACTCCAAAAAAAAAAAATTCTACCATCTAAAATCCAGGAGAGAAAACACTTGCACACCGAAAGACCAAATAATGACACGAGAGATGGTATCATTTTTATGGCTGCTATAATCATAATTTTGTAAAAAAACCAGTGTCATAATTTGGTGACCACAATAAAATACAGCTTTGCAAGGTTGATTTGACAAATTAACTTGCATATCAATCATTAAGGCACAGGCTGTAAACTTGTGACATTAAGATTGAACAAGGCTTCTTCTTTGTACAGCCAAGACAAAAGCAAAGAAAAATAATGCATTAATCAATGAATCCGTCAGAGAAATATATTTAAAGTAAAATCATATGCATTAATTTTCAAATTCTAATTTAGCTGGAGATCACTAAAAGCAGTTGCCCACTGCTAATGAGCTAGGATCCATATGATATAGGATCAATGAACCAAGGTGATGCACAAGCCATTCTAACACTTGGGATTTGGCACATCCCTAAACGTTTTCCCTAATTATGCAACGTCAGCTAGTAATAATATCAAGGTAATTCTTAAGAGGAAACAGAATGAACTTTCAAAACTCAATTCATAATAGCACACAAAAAGATGATAAAAATGAAGAGGATTTTTTGGGGCGTGGGGCTGTTCTTCTTTCACAGGAGACATCTCCTAGACTTGGTATGTAAACATCTTTAACGGGCCTGATTGGATAAGTTTTACCATAAACAGTCTTTAAGAAAAGAAAATAAGAGAAAAATAACATGAGTTTTTCCATTAACTAAATTAGTCCATGCATATGTTAATTTGTAAAAGTTTTCATATTAACTTATCTAAAAGATGTTTAACTTATGCATAAGTTAACTTTAGTTTATAAAGAAACTTATTTGAGTTTTTCTTCTCATTTCTTTCACCTAAAAGTGATTATGATAAATTTTATCCAAATTAGCCCAATGTCACAGCAACAGATCTAAAATAATCCTATTACGCCTAGTTTAATGCCATCAAACAGCTAGACATGTAAGGCTGTCACTAGAATTTAGAATTTCGTTTTTTGAAAACTCACATTCCCTTTTATTTAATCTACGCTAACAAATTCTTTAGTCACTCAAAACTTCCTATGGAGATAATGATCAAAAGGCACCCAAAAGATCTCTATCATTTTTATTGTATAAAAGGAACCCAAAAAACCAACCAACCTGACACAGTGGTACTTGTTTTCCCCATCCAGAGTCTCAGGGCTTGTAAACCGCTGAAGGGCCTCCACCAGGGTTGATATATCCCCTTCTATCTCAACAGTCAGATCCATCATCCTTTCTTGACGCTCAGACTTCCCTCCACATTTCATGCATTTTATCTGCCAAATGTTCATTTGTCCCTTTTACTTCCAATCAGCAGATTATAATGACAATAATAGTAGAATGATCTATTTCATAAACAAGTTCAGACTTCCCTCCACATTCCATGCATTTTATCTGCCATATGAGGAGAATGTTCATTTGTCCTTTTTACCTCTAAGAAGCAGATTTTATAATGACAATAATAACAAAATTATCTATTACATCAACATGCCAATATTATAATACACTAGCGGGGAGAGGAAAAAAATAGACAGTTTAAATTACTTTTCCATATAGAAATATAAAGTTTAATAATTTTTTAGTCCATCAAATTAAAAATGTTCATTTCAGTCCCTCAAATTTAATAAAATATGGTTTCAGTTCCAGAACACTAAACTTGAAGGATTCATCCTTCAAATTTATTACTTAGGGACTAAAATCTTTTTTTTTTTTTTTCAATTTGGAGGGACTAAATTAAACTTTTAAAATCTGGCAGACTAAAATCATGTCCCTCCAAATTTCAGGGACTAAAAGCATAATTAAGCAATATAAAATTACCTTTGATCGAAGGTAACCTCCAAATGTTTGACCCATTAAAGTAGTGTCCTCTTCTAAGGAGCCTGGTGCGTTAACCCCAGCTTCCATAAGGCAAATAGATTGCATTGTGTCAATAACATGCCTGTCGAGTGTCAAGTGTGTCATGATTCATTTAAAATGAATGCCAAAACAATACTCAGGCTATATTACATGAATTAAAAGGTGTAAAGTACCTAAGAAATTCATGTGCATCTTCTTCTCTCCCATTACTAAGCTGACTCCCAATATTCTGTAAATGAGAGATTATGCTTATAGGAGACACTGAAGATTTTGTCTCTTTTGACTTCAAAATCAATCTTTCAAATTCGCAGGTGAAACACCATTTCTTATTTGCACCTAAAATTTACATAGGAGATATTTAACCAGCAGTTACAACTAACAACACAGTATTCAATAAACAAGATAAGTGTGATTCCATGATGGAACCTCTGATTGCATACGTACATGATTTAGAATGTAATCCTTGAAGCAAATAAGCAGTCAGAGGTGGTGTAAATGCTAAACACTGAAGTATAGCATTGGCATAACAACTGCAAAGTTAAAAAAACAATATATGAATCTTACATAGAGCACAGTGGAGGAGCAATTGATTCTACACAAGTTCAATAACCTAAATATTCTCATAAATCATTCAATAATAAGGTAAAATAATTATGATCCTCATCAGCAAGGAAAGGAGATAATAATACACACCACAAAATCATATTGCAAATATATAAATCCACATATATTTTAACATATTTGTCATAAATAATTTGAAACTACCTGTTTCCACAATTCACAAGGCCAAATGGGCATAACTCCTCCTTGTTTGAGTTATAAAGCTTGACAAACAATTCATAAGGAAAAAAACCCTGCAACAACTATACATGTAAGGTAAAAATGTTTCAAAGCACAATAAAATGCAAAAAGATATGTTCTAGAATAACCTTGTCATTGTGTCTTTCACTGATATCACTCCCAACAGCTAATTGAAAGTGCTTTGACATATTTGATCCTCTAAACTGATCAACAACTTTCAAAACAGGAGTTCTTAAGCCACACTTAGAATTTGCAGAGCAGCTAGTAATATGAGAGGAAGTGACAGATCGAGTGCCAAATTCAATGTCATTATTCCCATGTTTTGTACTGGAATGAGAATGCTCTTCATTTCCAGAAGCTAAATTAGAATTAGCATCCTCATGCTTCACGCATCTAATCTCAGTGGACTTGAATGTGCTGCGACAGTTCTTCACAACTCGATTTGATACCATAGAGCCAGTCTTTTGCAAGTTATTGATTCTCAAAGCCTCTGCACAAATTGAATCTTTGCCACCGGGGGACTGATGAGAGAAAGATGATAAAGGTGGCCTAAAGCTGTCTTTAGAATCCAATTGATCAGATTTAGAACCATTTGGATTAACATAACTCCTAACACTGGAAAGTTCACTGTTGGAGAACGAGAAATTCCTCACTTCCGAAGAATTCACGTTATTATTCTGAGACCCAATACAGTTTGGGAAAGCATTATCAGAACCCTTTGTTTTGGTATCTCGTACATGTGAAGGAGGCATGGCACTGAATGAAAAGTGACATGAAGAATCAGAAACAGTCCTTTTGCCCATGGATTCATCACAGTAGGATGGATGAGTGTCATGTTTGGAATCATCTTTAATCCCATCAAGTGCTTTATCCCAGAATCCCGAAAACACTGTAGAAGGCTCAATTGTTTTCCCCTTACACTTACTTGAACCTGAATTACCATTTGCTGCAAACTTACTCCCTTCTTTACTAAAACCAGGTCCGATATGATTTAATTTATGCATTGTAGAATCAACCAAAGTAGCAAACTTTGGTGAAGAGGACATGGTTACACCCATGCTATTATCACTAGTGTTGTCTAGAATGTCAAGGGTGGAATCAACCAAAATAGGTCCCTCTCTGTCATACTCATTTGAAATTATACTCTCACAGACAGAGGAATCATCAGATGAATCAGTGGAACCCGTGGAAGCTGAGAATCCAGAAAATGAGTTACTGGACGATTCCGAAATAGAATCTGTTATATTTCCCTCTGCAAGGGACTCAAATCTGATATTTTCATCCTTCCCAGATGAAACTTTAGGAGAAATGCAGATATCAGAAATTGGGGGCTTTTCAAAGGCTGATTTACATTCTGTGCTTTCACTTTCCAACTTCTCACTATAGACTCCAGCGTAGCCTTGCTGTACCAACTTGCTGCTATGATCACTTGTTACATCATCACTCCGTTGGATTGTGCTGGGAGGACGGCATTCTAACTTATGACCTTGACGCCAATGAACAGTTTGGCACTCAAAAGAACTGAAACACATCAAACCAAACATGCAATACTATAAATTGGAAGACAGATAAATATGCAGACTGAAAACAATGAACTGGAACCACGTTAAAACAGAATGTCAGTCAGCTAGATCATTCAACATAGTGTATAAATGGTGTCGTTAAAGCAAAAACCAAACTACAGCGTAATATTCTCCCAACTAAACAAAAATTATTTAAGAAAAAGAAAAGCATTTTCTCTCCCAAAAGGTTTCTACATAAACATATTAAACTACAATATAAAGCACCTAGCAAAACTTGCAGCGTGTTTTTATTTCGACCCACCAACTCACAGAGAGGAACAGCCAAGTAATTTCATTATCTCAGCGGTCGTTAATTATGTTGAAGAATGAGCTGAAATCAGCTCCTATAGGATAGTACTTAACTAAGAAGCCAGATATTCTGTTTATCTTGTGGCGTACAATAACAACAAGCAAAATCATATCCCCAGTTCCGACAATAATTAATAAATGTACTGCAAAGTAATTTGTTGGATTCTGAAAAAATGAACCCCACAAACATCCACAACCCATGCCACATTAAAAATAAGTCTCCTAATTAAATTATTCGGCAAAAATTCAAAACACACCAGTAGCGAACCGATTTGCACTGAGCGCAACGTGCGGTGGCAGGAAAATAGCAAACGGCGCATTGATTGCTTGGAGCGGCAGAAACCGACGTGCCGTACACATATAACGCTTCTCTCTCGGCCCTGGCAGTTTCCTCCGCGGCCAAAACCAAAAGCCTCCTGATCTCCTCCTTCTTAGCCTCTGAAATCTGCCATCTACGGCAAATTACGAGGCCGATCACCGGCACCACCAGACAAACCACCAGAAGGACCAGGCTCGAAAACCCTAGATCCCCGGTGACACGCATTTATCCTGCACCTCACACACATCCAGCGCCAGCAACACACGTAAGCAGCTACTATCACGACCACACATAGATTGGTCCAACAGCTGCGCAGAAAACCCGAAAAACCCTCAACCGAAGCCCAACAATAGGACGGTGAAGAAAAACGCGGCAACCCGTGACGGTGAGATTAACGAGGAAAGTGGAATCCGTGATGTGGAAATGTACGTGGATCAGAGTCACAAGGAAAGTGGAGATGGCACTGGAAATTGAAAACGACGGAGCGGAACTGAGAGTCTCGTGGTCGTTTTGTTGTTTTGTTTGGTAGGGATCGAAAAAAAGTTTGCAGCGAAGGAAGAAAAAGTTGAGAGAAAACGCGGTAAATGTTAATAAAGAGGGTAGCATTTAATTTAATAAATTAATTAAATATTGATATCGATGGTTTGTCGAGGGAAAGGAATTTGGTTGTTGGAAAGCGTGAATTCTTCGTTGGTTCGTTGGATTCGTCGTCATCTCCAATCTCAGGTACTATTCCTTGCTTATGATCCGAATCTCGAAACGGGTCCGGTTCATTGTGACGGTTTGGGATTGGGGGATCCGACGGTGGAGGTGGGCCCATGATGATGTTCGTAGAAATGGCTTCATTCTAATTCTTGCTTTTGGTGGAAGAGATTCCACGGAATTAACCATTTCGCAAGTTACTATCAACTTCGACGTGGGTCGGTGCTTCTGCCCAAACATGCCTTTTCAATCCAAGGAAAGGATCCTTTACTTTATTCATAAGAAATTTTACCATTTATTCAAAACAAACATGTTTATTAATATATTCAAAAACAAGTTTAATTTTATTTAATATGTGCTCTTCGTATCTTGTGTGCTTTGTGCATTACTTATAAGTACTAAATTCCCACACTCTTAAATACTTTTAATCACCTTGTTAGTGGTAAATCGAGAAAAGCGATCGAAATCGAAGGAAAGAAATGTGACTCGATAAGATAAACAAAAATTCATTCGATGTCTAATTAGAAATACGTAGCATATAGCATCGAGAAGCACAGTCGAGAATCGAATGAATAATAATCAAATGACTGTTGTCGAATAAAAACTAAGTCATATAAGACCAGGGTTAAAAATGAATCGTAAGCAATTCGAAGTTCTCAAAAAATACAGAATCGAGAGTAAAGAAAGCCAATGTGGACATCGAGACTTTGGCCAAATCGTGAAAGGAAGTAAGTCGAATGCACGTATAAAGAGCAGTTTTGAAATCATGGGAAAAAGTCAGAGATCGTGAGAACGTGGGAAACTATAGAAGATAAACTGTCATACGCACGTAGAACGTGGTAGCAGTCGCGTTAACTGCTCTCGGAAGGCTTGAAGGATGCCCTATAAATAGAGCAAAGGAGGAAGGAACAAGAGAGCAGAAATTGGCAGAGAACAAAATCAGTAGTGAAAAGTCTACCGGAGAAACGACGAACACCATGAAGCTTCTGGCAATCTGGATTTCCTTGCTCACTGAGTACATTTACCGCTTTCTGTATTTTCCTTGGTAATTTATTTTGATGCAACTTAAATTCAGCAATTTTATGTTTCTGTATTTTCGATTCCTCGTCCATTTCAATTCAATGAAAATTTAAGTTTATGCATTTAAGTTTCCATGTTATTTAATGTTCTGCAAATCTCAATTTCCTGTCACTTACTTTTCTTGCAATCTCGATTTCTTGTCATTTATATTTGCACTATTTTCGATTCCTCGTCATTTACAATTGATGCAAATTTGGATTTTCGCTCTTTACATTTTCTTGCAATTTAACATTGTTTCTTGATTCGATACTTTTACTGCTTTCGATACTTTAAAATACAAAATACCAAAAACAGCATTTTCGATATCCTGTAATTTTCGATTCTCATACACGTTTTCGATTGAAAATCAAATTGCTAGCCTAAGTAAAAAGAGCTTACGTGGGAGGATTTCGATTAAAGACCAAAATACCCTTAGAATCGAAATCGATCGAAATTTCACCAGAAACAAATTGGCGCGCTAGGTAGGGGGTCTTGTGTTGAGAAACACAAAATTGGTTAGTTCGAAATTGTATGAGATTAAGGAGTGGGAGAGTCATGAGTCAGAGTTCATCAAATAACCAGAGTAACAGTGAGGGATTAAACGTGTCACACCCACCAAATACTGGGGGGCAAAGTCATAATGGGAACACGCCTGTAGTATCGACAACTATAAGTATGTCGATACCCGTGAGTAATGAACAAAATTCAGGCACTTTAGCGAATACTCAAATAGGATCTAGTGTGGTTGCACCAAATAATATGCAAACTATAGGAAATCCCACAACTACATATGTAGGGCCACGTATGAGTGTAAGACCGCCCGGGTTTTCACTTAATAGTGTAAGTGGGGCTGGAACTTCTTCAGCGCATAGGAATTCGAGATATAACTTAGGAATGTCCCAAACACTAGGTATGCCGCAAAATTTGGAATTCCTCCGAACTTAGGGACATCTCAGAACTTAGTAATTCCCCAGACAGGGAGTGGACAGAATGTAGGCACACAACAGATATCTCCAAATCTAGATCATAGGGGAAACTTAGAGCATGGGAGACATGTATTCGATAGAGACTATCATCGATCTAATGTTGATTCTATTGAAAACATGGGTACCGGAATATCTAGTAATTCATTAGGGGTGCTTAGACAACAAATGGATGAGAGTAATTTTGAAATGGTGAATATGTTGTCACAACAGTTGACCACAGTCTTAAATCCATTAGTACAAAACACTACTGCTAGTTTTGAGATATTAGCGGACCAAATGTCACGAATCGGGGATGCATTAGCTGTGCCTCGACAAACGAGGATAGAAAATCATGCTAATCAGAATACTAATATTAATCCCCCATATCTATTGAGAAGAAATAGAAACAATGATCAACAGCAGCGTATGGGAAATGAGTATCAACATGTGAGGAATGATATTTATGGGAATTTGAACGAAGGATTTCAAAATATACACAATCAGAATAATATGTTGGGACAAAGGATGAATTTACAAGGGATGGAATTTAGACCACCCAATCAGACATATTTTGTATCTCCCTTTCCGAATGCGATTCTCGAGACAGAATTGCCTCGAGGATATAAAGTACCCAAATTCACTAAATTTGCTTGGAGAAGTTGGTGAATCGACTATCGAGCATGTGGCTCGATATCGGATCGAATGCGGGGATTTAGCGATGAGTGAAGAATTAAAAATGAAATATTTTCCTAGTTCTTTGACTAAGAGTGCTTTTACTTGGTTCACGTCATTGCCACCCAATTTGATATATAATTGGCTGCAATTGGAAAGAAATTTTCATGAGCAATTCTTTAGAGGAGAAACTCAAGTGAGTCTCATCGACTTGATGAATATAAAAAGATACAATCATGAAAGCATAGATGATTATTTGAATCGATTTAGACAAATGAAATCGAGATGTTTCACTCAAATTCCCGAATATGAATTAGTCAGAATGGCCTCTGCAGGTTTAGAATTCTCGATTAGGAAAAAACTAGTCAATTTACCATTGAATGACATGACTCAATTAGTCGATAAAGTGAGAAGAGTGGAACAAATAGAGTATGAGAAACAAAGGTATAAGAAATATGAGAAACCTTTAAAAAAGGAAAGAATAGCATACATAAATGATGTATATGAGACGAGATAATATGACGAGAAAATGATATTGAAGAAACTGTCGATGAGAAAGTAAACTTAGCGAGAACTCAAAGTAGGGGTTCCATATACACTGTAAATTGCTACAAAAGAATGAAGTAAAAGATAAAATGGCAAATCGAACATATACTTTTGATGTAACAAAAGCGGACAAAATCTTTGATATTTTATTGAAAGACAAACAGATTAAGTTGAGTGATGATCATAAAGCTGCGTCTGCGAGAACAAAGGAATGGTCGAAAATATTGCAAATTTCATAATGTTTATGAACATTGGACTAACAATTGTATACATTTCGGGAACACCATCCAAGATGCGATTGACCAAGGAAGGTTGAGGTTCGAAGAAATGACAATGAAAGTTGACACGAGTCCATTCGAGGCCCAAGTTGGATACCTCGAATCCCAAACAGGCATTACTGATGATGTCCGATTAACAAATTCGGCCTTTATAGGCATGGTAGATGTCACTGAAGACATCGATCCTAAGCACGTTAGAATGGACATGTCTGAAGAAGATATGGAATTTGACCTGAGTGAATTCGAGAGAGAGTTCGAAAAGGAAATATACCCTCGATCGGGAGATTCTCTCATTGAATTTTTGAATAGAAAAAAGGAAAAAGACGAAGATGTGTCATTATGCCCACGTTGTAATGCGGTGTTCGATAAATCGGCTGCCAAAGCTTTCGAACGAAACGAGATGAAGAAGATCGAGAACCAAAATAAAAGGAAAAATGACAAAGTAGATCAAACAGATCCAGACCAACGATCGAAGAAAGTCGCAGAAATTCGTTGACTCTGGTGTTAGTGAAAATCGGAGGCGGTGGATTAGAAGAGAGATGTATCCTTCTCGAGGAGGAAGAGGTAGACTTCAAAGTAATGATGTTTTCGAAAGACTCTCGTATGATGATGGATCGACCACTAGATTCCCAATATTCCAAAGAAGATTCCGAGGAAGGCCCTGGAGAAGAGGAGGAAGGATCCCCTATTGGAATCATTACGAAACTTTGAAGAAAATGTTGCACCAATAGAGAGTCATTATGCAAGAGAATTTTTCGATGACAAGAATGATGATACTTGGGACGAACATCAAATCGGGGTAATATCAATTTTACCTGCGGAATATGTGAGCGAATACAAAGAATACCAAGAAAAAGAGATGCTGAGCGAGAAGATGACTTCTATTCGAGAAAACATAAGGCCAAAAATAACATGGGTCACACAAACCTCATGTGAAGTTCCTCATAGAGACGCTTGCTTTCATCGATCCCCCATCGAGGAAATGAGGTTCCACTTGAAACCATTATTGCTGAACATCGAGATCCAAGGACGAGATGGTGAATAGAGTCCTTGTCGATGGTGGAGCGGCGATGAATATACTTGCCAATTACTATGCTTAAAGAAATTTGGCATTGAACTAAAAGACTTAGTCAAGCACAATATTATGATTTCCGATTTCAGCGGAAAGACGTCAAGTTCGGAAGGTATGATTGCCTTAGACGTGAAAGTGGGCACTTACTCGAGACCGACTTGTGTTTGTTGTGGTCCGGTCGCATGCCAATTTCAATGCATTACTTGGCGGAGAGTGGATTCATGGAGTAGGAGTTGTACCTTCGACAGCTCATCAAAAATTATTTATGTGGAATCGAGATGGACATCTCGAAGTAATCCCAGGAGATCGACACGAATTTGTAACATTCGTATCTCGAGCTGGTCGAGCACCTGCAGAATCCGGCGCTTGCTCAACCATTCACCTTCGAAGCAGTTGAAGATTTTAATTCAAAGCTGCATGAGGAGCGTTTCCTAGAAATGAATGAGAAGAAAGGATTCATCATGATCAAAGAGGGGGCCAACCTCGAAGTAGCAGGTGAAGATGAATAGAGAATACGAAGAGTTCTTGGCTCGATTGGGAAAATATGAAGATGGGAAGAAGAGCCAAGAAAGTAGTAGTAGTAGTAAAATAGGGATA